GTTGAAGAAACAATATTAGACTTTTTTGATAGAGAGCCGATGAAGAGCGAAGAATGCGCCTTCGAAGAAGGGATTTAATAAATATTTACAATTTTGTATTACGGTCTTTCACACTGCAGGAGAAGTTCACAATATATCGTGAACTTGTGATAGGCCTTTTTGTATTAGCAATGAATTTTGACTATTATTATTCAACAGTAAAGAGCTAAATTATTAAATAAATTAAATAATTATATAACTCTTTCTCCTTCGTTATTACTTTTCATTTTCTATGCTACTGCTTTTATTTCTATATATATACAATATTAAAGTATTATTAAAGTTTCAAAATTTTCAAATATTTTATTAGTTGAATAAAAAATCATATAAACTTTTTTATGTAGTATTACTATTTACTTTCTTGTACTTTCTCTCTTTATTGGAGGGATATTAATTTAACTGTTGTTAGTAGAGAGGGTAAGCCACCTAGCTGCAGCCGCTCATTTATTACAATGAGTCAAATAAATCTCAATAACTTTAGTTTTTCTAATCCTGAGATTGAAAATATATTTATATTTTTTTGTATAAAATAGTTTATGCTTTTTCTGTTGTATGTTTTTATTCCTTATTACTTTTTGACTGTTTACTTTTTTAAATTTTTTAAGTTCAAAGTTTTAATTGTATTGTTCAGGCTATTAACTACGTAATTATTTATGGTGCTACTTTCTTTTAACTTTATGTCTTGTTGCTGTTATTAAGGTTTTCTATGAAATTAGTTTACATTAGCTATTATATTATATATATAAAATCTGAAAAAGAAAAATTTTTATAAAATAAATTTAAATTAATCAAAGTGTGTTTACATCGAGGTGATACTAATAACTCGCCTACGCTTATCTTGCAGTCTTTACCCAACAATCGCGTTGTCGCCAGACATATACAAAGGGCACTAAATCTACAATTAATTCTACCCTCACACAACTCAGGCGCACACAAAAGCTGTCTTGTAGAGCATTTGCAATAAGTTACTAACACCCACATTAAGGCACATGTTACAAAGCAATGCCTATAAATTCGTTGGAGGCTATTAACTTTTATTAAGTTTTGATCGAGTTTTCATGTTGATGGTAATATGTTTAATTTTTCGTCGTTATTTTCCTTGCTGTTTAAATGATGTTCACTTATGGGTATGTCTGCCATGTAAATCAAAAAGAGGATGAGTGAAAGTAAGGAACCTTGTAGTACGCCTTCTTTGAGATCCGTTAAACTTGAGCAGGCCATTTCTATTATTGTAAAAACCTTTCTACGGTGCAGAAATGATTAAATAAGAGAGAGGAGATAATTAGGTATTCTTAGGCTGATCATTTTAGTTATGAGACACGTATGCCAAACCCTATCAAAAGCCTTTTCAATATCTGAGAGAACAGCACATTTGGACTCGTTGTTGTTAAGTCCCTTCGTCTTGTGCTCGGTGAACTTCAAGAGTTGCTGTTTAATTGAATGGCCCCTTCTGGACCTAAAATGGTTTTCGAGGAGGAAATAGTTTTTTTGTTTAACATATTTGTGTAATTGCCTGAGTATAACTGCCTCTGCTACTTTGCCGGCACATGATAATAGAGTTTTCGGGCGACAGCCCGCGGTGTTTAAGGAAGAGAGATTTTTAATTTAGTAAGGAAAATAACAGTAGCCACTATCCATAGAACTGGAAATAGTGCAAAACTAAGAGTGGCATTAATTATAAGAGTGAGGGTTTTTATGACCGACTCAGATAAGTTTTTTAGCATGAGGTTTGTTATGCCATCAGGTCCTGGTGACTTATTAGTTGAGAAGGTGTTAATATTCAATTGTACCTCGTCGAAGGTTGTGTGATTCTTTAGCGGTGCTTGCTTAATAGAGGAGGTTCAGAGTTTTCTTGAGGGCAGTTGTCCTATCTAAAAAAATTGTTAAGGGTAGGCATTGGGACAGGAGACACTAAGCATTGACTTCCGCTTTGTCAATGTTCGTCGTAAACAGTCCCGATTTTCGACTTTAATAGGGAGGTTGTGCTGTTTATGGCGGTTCTTCACCGATTTAATGAATTGCCAATAAGAGGGTTGTTGTTATTTCCTAGGTTAGAAAGCTTACTCTCCCATTCTCGGTTGGGCAGCGTGAGAAGATTTTTTTTGACCTTTTTGTCAAGGTTGTTCGGTGTTCGTTTATTTTCAGGGGACTGAGTTAATGCAAACGTCCTCTTTTGCTGTTTTCTGGATTGAAGAACTTCAAACTCTGTCGGCAGATGTGATTTTAGATCTGTTTTTACGGTATACTATGTAGGGGCAATTTAAAGATATTTCCAGCTTTTAGGTGTGTTTCGCTCACAAGAACGAAATCGATTTTTTCTCTTATACTCTCTTCCAATTCCTCTCTTTCGCAATGCAGGCCATCGGCGTTCCTGAATAGGATCGAATGTACTTCAATGCGTTTGGCAGGGCTATCATAAAGATTTAAGAAGCTCATAAGCAATTTGGCCATAGTAAAAAGTGTATTTCTTAAATTTAATTGGTTATCCTTAATATTGCCTTCAATGCAAACCCTCTCTTTCGTTGAGGAGGTAGAAATAAATTTTTTAAGGGGCGCCCAAGTTCAGGTACAGCAGTGGTGGGTGAAGGCCACCTTTTTCTTATGTTTTTCGAATAAAATGTGTACCCCCTATAGATTGCAGTGTGGTCGCCCTAACAGTTAGCACATCTTGATGGAGTCTCGGTGGTTTAGTGAACCGTATAGTTTCGTGATTTTCACCACATTTGACGCATTTGTGGGCTGAGGTGCAGTGATTTGTGTTATGGAACGAAAAGCTGGCAGCGATGACATTGACCAGGTGCTGTTCTTCAGGCTTTCTTTCCACAGAGATTGTGATGAAAAACAGAAATAACTTTATAAATTGATACTTCAGATCTCGTTAGATGCACAAGAACAAGTGGAAGCGGTTTCTTATCGTCTCTAAAGCTTTACTTTCCAGCAACTTTTAATGGGTGTAATCCTTGTTGTCGTAGATCTTTGATCTCTTTGAAATCCAATTCTGGATTAAAACTACGTTAAATGTTCGCTCTTCAGGTAGTGATTGGAGTAAAATTCATAATTTCTTTCAGTGAGAAGCTTTGTGGCTTTTCGAAAGTCGTCAAAACTTGAGAGGAAAACTTTAATGTTATTTCGGGTATCCCTTGAGGTGAAGTTGTTGAGGTTACTGTCTGATAAAAGGGAAACTACTTCCGGCCATTTATGCTTTTCACGTATAACTATGGGAGAAATAAATATTTATTTTTGGGGATGTGTTACTAATATTGTCGCTGGTGGCCGCTTTGATATTAATTTTTTTTTTGGGAAGTGTTACCACTACTGTTACTGCTCTTAGTAGGGGTATAATTGTTATTATTACTATGGTTCTCACCATTATGGTTATTAGTATTATATTTAATACTATAGTTACTGTTACAATATTTGTTATTACAGCCACTTCTTTGACAATAGTTATCACTATTAGTAGTGGTATCAATCTTAATATTAATGATAGCAACTTCGACTTCATCTACGGGCATGAGCGCTGAAACTTATAGAATTGGGATTTTCCAAGCTAAAGAGTCGCCTTTCCATTTTTTCGAAGCACTAAAACCGAAGTTGTTTACTTTGCTTTCAAATCCGAAAACCTTTTCATTTGCAAAATCTAGTTTTGTTAATAGTTCTTCAAAGGTAGTTAATAACTTGGCCACCATCTCAGGGGAGTAGTGTGCTGCCATGGCAGTTTATTCCTGGTAAACATTAAATAACCTCTTTTTTAAAAAAAAGAATCGTTTATGTGTTATAGAGCAACGGCTGGAGTTAACAGTGCTATCTTCAACCTAACTTTTTAATAATTTTTTATGCTTCAAATATATTTAGAACTAAGAAGGGAAGGTGACAATAAATTTAAAATAACAAAAGTACTCCTCGTCGCTCTATTCTTGCGTTATACTTACAATATATATAAAAAGTAAAAGAGTGTGGTACGCTAGTTATGTTAGCATAATGTGGTCTTCATACGTCTGTTATGTAATTGTGCAGGAGATTGTAAAGATAGAAATCATAAAGTTGTCACGCGTTCTTATAAAGTATTAAAGCCACAATTAAATTACTGCATTAGAGAAAACTTAACACAAATAGAAAAAAATTTTCCCGTCTAAATTCTTTAAAATCTTCCAACTACTTACCTATCATAAACCTTCTAAGAACATAAATATCGCTTTAAGTTACATAAATTATTATTGAATAGTCTCTTATAATCTGGGTAAAAAGCAAGTTGTTAATGGCAATATAAAGTAAGAAAATATGAATGAATTGTTTGCTTTTCCCTGTTTGTAATTGGTAAAGTGTTCGACATATTCTCGATAATTATTACTTGCCTAATAATATAATGTTGTGGTAAGTAAAAACCTTTAAAAAGAGATTATTTGGTTGCCGATTCTAACTTTAAAGGTTTTGTAGGCCTTCTTATTCTTTAAATAAACCGAAAAATAGGGTGGTGGGATTTTTCTAAATAATTATGATACTAGTTTATAAATGAATAAAAATATAAAAATATATCAAAAGACAAAAAGCAATGTAATAAAAACTTGAATGCTCCTAATTTAGGTCAAGGGCGTTCCGAAGAAATTAAATTAAAATTGCCATATATACATTAAGTTCGACGTTTTTCATTATCTCCAAAAAGTTGGCAGTAAACCAAAATAGTTATTTGGAAGCCTAATAGAGAGACCAAACCATACTGCATTGATTTTAATTTTTAAGTAAAAATATTTTTTTTCTAAATACTAGGAAAAAAATAATTTATATATAAATCTTGCTCCTTGTGGTACGCTTTTCTAAAATATAGCTATCTGTCATTCTGGTAAAAAATAAATCTTTTTTAAAGCAAGAAAAAAACCGGAAGTAATATACTTCTGTGTATAAAAGTAAGTTTATTTTATATTATACTTTGACCATTTACCCTCTTAATAAAACTAACGATTATTTATTATAATAAAAGGCTTTCGTTTTCATTTGATAAGTATTCGGATAAAATTTTTTTAAGACTTTTCATATCGTGAACGGGCAGTCTTTAAGTAGTGCTTATATGATACAAAGGAAAACAGCCTGACAAGGCAGTAAGAAAACCTTTCCGAATGAGCACGTGTTTTTAAATTGATGTCATTGGTCACAAGAACTACGTTCCGAAATAGATCCGTGGCTGTGTCTTGTAATTTTAATTATGTTTTGCTATCAATTATTATTATAATTATCATTATCATTACTAGTCCCTTCCCCCCCCATATAGTCTACTGTTAAAGTTGCTACTGCTGTGCATCGTATGACTAAATATACTGAAACGTATATAAATAATTATCTTTTCAGCCAATATTCTTTGCACAAATAATTATATGAGAAAAAATGCTTTAAATATTACATAGCCTTCCAGTTTACACCAAAAAAATAAAGATATTAGTTTATAGATATTTCGTTAGTAAACGATGGAAATACCAACCAGGAAAAACCATCAACTGGGAATACTGCTTAGCAACTGGGCATACTCAACAATATGATGAGCTTAACCAATCACAGATGAAAGTGAAACGCAAAAGAGGCTATAAGGATATTGAAACGGTTTGCACTACTAAAAATGTTTTAAAATCTGTTAAAGACCGCATTCTTTATAGTGTAAAGTTTATCAATGAAAAAGGGCAGCGGGAGGAGAAGGGGTAGTACAACTTATTATCATTATAAGTCTTATTAAAATTATCATATAATTATAAAAAGACCTTTTTTAATAGAAGACCGCTTCGAAAGTTCTGTTGTTGCGTGCAGAATTAAGTCGTCGTTACCGAGGATCTTCAATTAGATATACTAACTAAACTTCTATAGAGCAACCAATCTACCAAAAACCCACGTGTTGAGGCGAATAAATCTGCTGTTCATTTCTGAACTTAAGAGTATTCAAAACGTTTCCGCTAAAAGTCTATGACTACTAAACACGTGTCCATGACTCGATTATTATAAACAAGAGAACCATCATTTTGATAAAAGGATTCTTCAGTGCAAACTCTTTTTTAAGGAAAATCAGCGCTTCTCTTGACTTTTCTGCGTAAAATATTTACAAATAAAGGGAACTTCTTAGTTGAAATAAGATATTTTTATAATTAAGCTTAAAATTAACAATCGCTGAAAATATGTTTATGAAGAAGCTTTATATAATAAAACCTTTTAAAAAGTTTACACGATCTCTATTAACAAGTTCTGTTGCGCTCCCTTCATCCTCTCCTTTCGTGAGCCCTTTTGAAATAAAACAACACTACTTTGTGCATTTCATAAAATGGTTATACCAAAAAAAGAGCTGACCTGTAATTTCGTTGAATACCACAAGTGGACAGATAATAGTAAACTTTTGGGCGTTCAATAGTTTTTGTATGATGGGCAAATAACTTTCAAGTTTTTTCATGAGGAATAATAAAACATCTTTAAGTGTTTCTTGGTACCTAATAATAGAAGTGTACCTTATAAAGCAATTTGTATCGAAAACAAGGTTCACTGGTGCCACGTGGATAACGACAGCAATGCTTTCTTCATTCCTTTTTTCCGATAATAGACTCTCGTAAGTTTGCTGAGTTTAATAGTAAGTAAAGAGATATTGTCATGTACTAAACGACATTTTAAAAGTACTTTAGTTTTTATAGCGCCAATAAGTTGTTGTTGTTTTTCTTTCAAATGTGTAAAGGATGACTCTTGGCATTCAGTATCCCCCTATTTCATATATAACAAAAAAAAAGTTAAAAAGTTTATATAGTATTTTTTCACGTCACTATAATAAGTTAGTGCTTAAAAAAAAAAGTTAAGAAGAGTATAAAAAACCGTTGTGAATTCCTTTATTATAGTCGGGTGTTGGGTGTCGACTGGCGAAGGAGTGCTTGTTACAAAAGTGGTTGGGACTTTACTTAAAACAGTATTTCTATTGCTTTCTCTTGTTGTAGGTTGACTAAAAAAACCGCAATTCTGAACACAACAATTATAATAATCGTATTCATAGATCGGAAGAAGTTCTGAAACAATATAAGTGCCGATGCCTAAGATTGTGATTCTGCGTGTTATTTCACTTGCAAATGAATCATTTATCTAGTTGGCAAATAAACAAGCACATCTTTAACAATAGCGCGCGAAATCAGTATATATACAGAGAACAAATAATAAAGCAGTTACCAAAAAAAAAGTGAAATTTACCAATCTGATATCGATGTTGTCATAAACTTCTTTACCAAAAAAAACTTCATAGGCATCGCTAAGTGGCTTTATTCCCAACACCATTAGGTCTTCCCACAAAAATTTATTATCAGTATTTTTATTGTTATTGTTATTATTATCACAAAAGTTTAATAAATCTGAAAAAAGTTTCCAAAAATATAAAATATAGAAATCGTCATCTTCCATTTTATTTTTATAAGACTTCGGAAAAAGTTCGGGATAAAATTCAAAAGCTTTTTTGATAAAACTTGCGTTATCGGGGCTAAACATTACACTAAATTTTATACACAAAAAATAAATTGACATAGAACCAGTTATCAGTATAAATATATATACTTATTTATAGTTATTATTATTATTGTTACGTCTCTGATGCTCGCTAATATTTGATGAACAATTAAATAAGAAGCAGCATGAAGGTAACACGTGGATTAATATCCAACCAATGAGAGGGTTACTTTACCTTGTCAAAAAGGGAAGCACAAGATCCTTCCGCGAAACAAACCAAAGAAATATAATTTTTATGCACGGAAAAACAGTTTTAACCAATTCTTTTTATAAAATAAGAGATATAACTTTTGAGTAAAAGATAATGTAAACAGTATATATATATAAACATTTAATATTGAATACAGGTATAATACTATAATATTACAGCACATATATAATATATATGATAACAGTGAAAAGGCTATAAATATTATATATTTCAATTCTCATATAATATATATATTAGCATATGGATTAATGATGTAATTATTACACGTGAATAACAGAAACTAAACGTACCTATTATTAAAAGATAATAAAGTGTACCAGAAAGCGAGCATAGCTTATTAATATAATATATATTTTCAAAGGGAATAAAAAAATTACTTAAGATTACTTGAGTAGCAGTATCAGTATCTACAGAAAAACGATACAGTATTTATTTATAAAGCGCAAAGCTATGCCCGTTTAAGTAAGGAGGGTCAACAATCGCAAGAGAGCGAAAGCTCCCTACAATATAGTAGTAAAATGCGCCTTGTACATGCTACCAAAATTATAACAATACTTGGTAAGCAAAAAGTAGAAGTCCTCATAAATAGTAAATATATCGTGTCAAAATCACAAAAAAAACATACCAGTATTAGCGAGGACCAATTGGATTAACACAAGAAGATATTCAATAAGAAATGAAAATGAAAACTTCCACAAAACGTTTTCTTGGTTTTTCAAAAACGCATTAAAAGTATCATCTTTGCCAGTTTTGCTTCCACCAGTGAGTGCAGGAAACTCATCGGCATTCAATAAGGGCGTTCCGGAGACTTTGACGGGAATATCCATTCGTTCTTCGCAACTGAAAATGCAAATAACAGCACCACGGAGAAGAAATGATGTAGAGAAACTCGTTCCCTTTCAAATAATAAAAATAATAATAAACATGAGCTTAAAAAGAAATAACCGTTTTCTGGGCGAAAAGTACACGATTGAGAAAATTGTGTTGGAAAGAAAAAAGACGTTCCACGCCTTTAATATAATAAAGTAGAAAACAGAACGACTTGGCATAACAGAAGTAATATAATTTTAATTAATAAGGAAAACAGTGTAAAATTATAATTAAAAATATTGTTTCTGTTGTGAGTAATGTTAAAACTCACGAATTTAATACTCGCTAAAGGAAAGTACTACAAATCAAAGCAAACTTGTTAGAAAATAAAGTTTACTCAAAAGTCCCTTAACCGCAGTAAATTACAATGACCGTTTACTGTTTATTATTATAATCCAGTTACTGCATAAACTTATATTGGTGTTTTTTATTAACGAAAGGTTTTCTTTTTCTTTGTAATAAAAAATATAAAGATAATTATAAAAGGTAAACACGTTATTGTTAATAATTAGAAGAGATTAGTCAGTGTAGTTACGTGCATATTAACAAATAAAAAACCAGTCCGAGAAAATAAGGCTCCGTGATACAAAAGAAGAAAATCTAAACCAAAAAAAAAATAGATAAATAAAGAGTGTTTGCTTCGAAAAAATAAAGCTAAGCAAAAAAAAAATTTAATATTTAATATGTATTTTTATTAATACTAAATAAACGTTTTCTCAGTAGTTAAAATAGATAAAGTTATGAAGAAAAGAAACGAAGTACTAAAGTGTTGAAGGTTTATGAACTCTATACACAGTGAATAAATAAATATTTAAGCTTTAATTATAACGAGAAGCCCAGTAAAATTTTAAAAAGATAATAAAAAGTCAATATCAACGTCGATAAAAAAGTTTAAATAATTGATAATGACAACAGCCAATAGGAAAGCAAATAGTATTCTGCAGCATTAATAATAACACCTGCAGCCTCTTCTTCAGCGCAGTTAACTGCACATTTTTCTTTGTATTTATCAAAATCTACAAAAGAAAACTGAAAGTTTTTACGTTCTTTTTTTTCTTTGTGGCGTTCTAAAAAAAATATTATCAAAAGTTGGTAATACAAATAATATATATTTAATAAAAATACCATCAGAATCAAACTTGCAAACGTTATCGATAATCCAGACTTCTTTTAAAAAAGATTTTCTTTTATACTTTTCTTTTATGTGAATGTTCTTAAAAAATAAAAAATAAAAACGTTTTATGTTCAGTAAGTTTATATCATTTGCTTAAAACGGTTCACTGTATATAAAAATATCGTATAAATAATTAACCGAGAGTTCAATCACCAATCGGTCCACAGATTCCAGCAAATCATTATTTTTAGTTTTGACTGATTCAAATACTTGAGTTAAACTAAAGAATAAGGTTGTTACTATATTTATCAAGTAAAATATCAGTGAGGCCGAAAACCTATCTCTCGCGGTGAGGATCGGTTTCATCACAAGCAAACTACGAATATAAAAGTAGACAGCGGAAAAATAATCGCCCTACAGAGCAGCATAGATGCAAAGACAAGAAAAAGCACTCTGAACAGCAGTAGAAAGAAAGAAACCTCGTGTAAGGAGACGACAGCCAATTGGTTGTAAGGCTTGGAATTTCTGTATATGAGCCCTCGTGCGCAGCAGTAATAAGAGGCGGCTAAGCGGTAGCCGTGGAGCAGAGGGGTAGTGGAGGAGGCGGGCAGGTCCAGGAGTGAGGCAGATGACGCGTACTGTTGCATATAACGCTCGAGATCACCCGCGCAAATAAACGAGCGATGACTATTAGACGAAATAGAAGCTAAGTTAACGACACTCTCTGCTTAGCAAAAGTTGTTTAGTATTGATATTTAACACATAGAAAAGTTAATTTTTAAGTTGAAGTGTAATTATACTATTCAACCAATCGCGGATCATCCATAATAACTTTTAATAAATATAACTTTAACAATCATTACAAAACCTTTGGACCGCTAATAATATACCAACTAACTTTCTAGAATAACAAAAACTTTTATGTATCAAAAAATTACAAACTTTTATATTGAATTTTCTTAGCTAATATGCCACGCATTTCATGGCATATATTAAGGTAATATATAAACTTCTAAGTAATATTTAGAGAAGAAACTGCTATATCATATAATAACATTTAATAATAAAAGTAATATTAATAAACTGTAAAAAAAAAATTAAATAACTTTTAGATGAATGTTTTATGAAAAATTTTATATACAACAAAGTAATTAATAATATTTGTGGGTGTCAGATATTCACACATCACAAAGAAATTATAAAAAGTATAAAACAGTAAATTCACAAAAAAACCATATAATAATCCCTCAATATTATGACGTAAGTATTGTTATCAAATAATCAAGTAAATTATTTATAATACATCAACGATTTTTTAAAAATAAGAAATTCTCTTATAACTTTTGTTTGTACAAATTCTTTTTATAATACACTTTTCAGCTTCATTATTTGAAAAGAAAAAAAATTGAGTACCATGTTAGTATCGACTGTTTAATAACTTTAGAGTTCTTAAAACTTTGTAAACTTTCTTCTACTTCTAAAAAATATAAAAATAAAAATTCTTATATATTTATACGATTCTTAAGTACAATAAATTAGGTTATTATGAAAAGCAAACCCTAAAATTTTGAAGCGTTAAAAATACTCGCAACTGGTTCTACCTTCCTGAAGGGGCAGAAGTTCAATATATGTTTGATCTAGACTCCCCTTCAAGTCATTGATAATGTGAACATTCAAAGTAAACTTATAGTTCTGCTGGAGAGTATCAATGATGCTTCGATACCCCTCAACCCCTTCCTAAAAATAAATAAATAAATTCATAATAGATAATCTACTAAAGTTTACTAAAAAAAGGTAAAAATAATTAGTACTTTTAAGAAAACATATATTAATGTATCAATCTAAACACGTTATTTATAATACTTTTAAAAAAGTAATAAATGTTTCATAAATTTTGGAGAGATGATATGTTGCAGTTATCAAAGTTTCCTCTGCACTTTTACGGGTCTAAAAGCAGAAAAAAAAAGAATAATAAACATTTCTAAACAAAAGAAAATTTATTTTAATAAAAACAAACTACCTCGGGAGAAAGAGAAGTGTTATCGCGCGTTTCTCTGTGTCTCACTATAGCTTCGTTCACGTCAGCAATTTGAGTTCTGAACCAAACAACTAACTTGTAATAAGCGCTCCTCCACAAAACCTGCAAGCAATAACAATGAGACGCTAAAATAATGCAGCACAAACAAAATAAGGTGAGCCAAAAAAGACAATAAAAGCCACGTGGTGCTTTGGATTAAGTAGTAAAAGGAGTTTTTAATATATTTTATATGTCAATTAAGCAATTATTGTAATAAAAGTAACAAAGTATAAAAAATGACTTATAATAAAAACTTTCAAAATAGTAAATAGCAGTAAGAACAATAACAATAATAGTACGGTTTCGAGGTCGCAAGAGTGCGCAAAAGAAAGATCCGAAGAAACTATTTTAATACAAATTTGCTGCAAAAAATTGCATGCAGTTAATGCCATTTGCAACTTTCGTTCTTCAGCCTGGTATGTTTGGGGTAAACGCATAATAAGTACAAAAAAAATTATTTAAAAAGTAAAAGTCAAGTAAAAAGAAAAGTATGAAAACTTTTTTAAAAAATTATTCGATAAATATGCAAAATTAAAATTAAGAAGCAATTTTTTCAAAAAATGTAAAAACGGTGACAGCTTTTTAGCAAGTAAAAAAGAACTTGAACATTCGCAAATTCTCTTAATATGAAAAGATGTAATACTTGATATTCGTACCAATAAGATAAATACTGAAAAGCGCAAATTGAAAAAAAAATTGTTTATTACTGAACATGAATAAAATAAGTAGATATACGATAACTTTTAATTCTTCCAAAAGTGATAAGTCCTGTTGATGTTTATAAATATACAATAAGTAATAATATTATCTAAAAATAAAATCTGTGACCACTTTCATATTTGAGATTAGCACAGAAATTTTGGAGACAAACGCCAATGCGTCTTTCCATAATAAAGTTAGTTCTTTTCTTCTCTAAATTATATAACATAAAAGCAGTTTTGAAAGAAAAATAAAGAAACCTTTTTTTAACTAAAAGTATTCTAAGTAAAATATTATTGAAAAAGAAACAAGAAATGGAAACTTTATATATTATCAATATAGTTCCAAAAAATATTAATGTAAAAAGAAAAATTGTATAAACGAAGACAAAAAGTGTAAGTAAAAGTAAAGTAGAATTCTTAAAAGGCAAAAATGTGTTCAATCAAAAAGTTTATTAAAATTTCTTTTGAGCCAAAAAAAGCATTTCAACAATTTATATGTAAATATGTGTCGAGTGTGATAAATAACATTTATAAGTTAATAATAAAAAAATTACTTTAAAATAAATATTTGTCACGACTATTAGAAAAAGATATAATGATTAATTATATAAATTTAATATACCCTTTAATAAAAGAGATTAACAATTAAGAAAAACGAATCAATCTGAAATTATAAAATTGTAACATTAATATAATAGAAATAGTTGCTGTTTAGTTAATCTCTAAAAATCTTAACTTAAACAGAAAACTTAAGTTTTCTTTAAGCATTCTCAAATAATTATTCAAATAGGTATTCTAACTCTAATATTTTATAAAAAGGTTATAATAATTTATTGATAAAACTAAAAAACACAATATAAATCTTATGAAAGCTAAAGATATCTATCCCGAAACTAAAAAGGTTTAGTTATGAAATTAAAAACATTAAAATAAAATTTTAAGAGTTATCTAAATTAATAAAAAGATGATTTGTCCTTGGTAGTCCCTAACCTTCACGTTTAAAGAGCCGCAAGAAGAAACTCTTTTCTTTTGGTCAATACTAAAATTCTTAAGTTGATATTTTCCAGTAAATCTTCCCTCTTTAATAACAAATTAAAGTTTATATATAATAACGGTAACCTATTAAAATTACGAGAATCAAATTCTTGCCCGACAGGTTTATATCTTCTACCTACTTGGATAAAGTAACCATAACTATATAAGAAACGGTAATATCTAAACAGAACTTCTACGCGATTCTTTTTTATCCTTTTCGAGAGCGCTCTCGCTGTTATCTAAAGTTAATAAAATTTAAAAAGGTTAATCGTAATAAATGTGTGAGGACTAAAGTTAAAGAAGCACGACCAGATATGGTGTAAGGAATATTCCGATCGTAAACGTTACATTCCTCTTCAACCTTAAAACTATAATAGTTGTATTTTTGATAATAAATCATTAAATTTATAAAAATACATAAATTGTCTAAATATTTAAAAAATTATAACCCCAATTAATTGTTTAAAATATATACCCTCTATTCTTGGTAGAATTCTTTTTATTATCAAAGCTTTTATCAAGACCAAAACTACGGTCTAAAAAATAATAATTTTTAATAATAAGTCTATAAATAAAAAACCTTCAGCAGCTCTTCTAGCGGCAACTTCTATAGCCTTGGTGGTTTTCAATGACTCTCCTTACAGAATATAATTCCAATAAACATAAAAATTTTTATTTTCATATATTTTAAAAAACTAATATAAAGTTAAAATAATAGTAACCATTTAGGCTTTTTAGTAACAGTTTTCTTGCCACAGCCTCGTGCTTGGAATTACTGCTACGACTTAAGATGACAATAAGTAATAGTAGTAAAGAAGGTTTAAAATAAATACCCTTTTTCTCTTTCTCGAAGTCTTCTTTTGTTTTTTATTTCTTCTGCTTTGGCCTCAAGTTCTTTATAAGTTATTGTAACGACAGGAATTTCTACAAAACTAGGGGAAGAGGATTCTCTTTCTTTGCTACTCATTCACGTTAGGTAAAAGAATTTTTTTTGTGCAAACTTTACAATTATGGCTTTTTCTAATGCTCGATCGGGTTAACAACTTCGATTTCTCGAGCTCTCAAACAAAACACGTCTGGTCTAACGGGTAAAATACAAAAAGCCATCACACCGGGATCGACGGTTGTGGCCGTAGCTCAGCGGTTAAGAGCTTTGACGCGCATACTCAAGGTCGTAGGTTCCATTCCCACCGAGGCAGCTCTCTCTAGGCCTTTGAGGGTTCGTATTTAACCTCGCCTTCATAAATTAATATAGTTTCCCACTGGTACAAGCTAGGTTACTAACTTGTGTTTCCTCCACGCCACACGGAGGGCGGAATTGTAACTCATAAGAGAATTCTTCCGCTAAAAGACGATTGGCATGTTTAGCTATCGCCTTTAAAAGGAGAGGGCGTTGCTTTTAAAGTGTGTCCAGCGGATCAATCTGTAGATCGCAGTGAAGGGTGTCATCGCGCTAATTACGGCGCGTTTGACATATAAAGCAGCAGTTTATTTGGTCGCACTTGAGCGGAGACGCTATTGCTGATAGTTCGCAGGCCCAGTCAGCAGTGCAAAGGTCATGATCAACCAATTGCAGTAGCTTGCGTAACAAGCCTCGCTATACTCGGTCAAACGCCTTCTCAACGTGGAGGAGACAGCGCCAGTGACTTTCTTGAAATGAAGGGCTCCAGTCTTACCCAGTCATATTTTTATGAAACCCAAACTGAAACTGTAGGAAGATTTTGAGGGCGTTCACAACCGCCTTCACACGCTTTGAAATGACTGCTTCATTTAATAAAAGGCTGATAGGTCGGTACTTACTTGGAAGGCTCAGATGCAGTTGCGGTGCCTTTGTTAACATCATGACTACATCTATTTTGCCATTCCACAGGAGCAAGCCGATGATCACCGAGTTGGCAAGGCTGCACAGATGACCTTGGCATATATTTTGACATTAAGCCTGTAAGGCCGTCAGGACGAGGCTTTTTTGCGATTGATTTGTTCTCATTAATTGTCGACGGTTGTATCAGCCGAGATAAAACTTGACTCAAGGGGCGCATTATTGATGATTAAGGAGGTAGGTAGCGAGCACTGGGTAACAAGATGATCAACAAAAAGTTTCGCTTTAGATAGGTAAATTTTTTTATATAGAATATTGAGTTTCCGTCGTAGCTCAGAGGTTAAGATAATTGATGCGCATGCTCAAGGTTGTGGGTCCAAGTTCCATGAACGCGATTCTCATTTTCGGTTTTTAATGGGTTGCCTTGCGTGAATAACTTTTTCCTCACAACTTTTTATGCATTTAAAAAATATATATTATAATACTATAAAAACTATAAAAAATATATATTATAATACTATTATTAAAAATTTTTTTTAATTTTGATTATATTATCGTTTTAGAAATATTATTATGTATTTTTTCTTTGTTTATTACAAATTTTTTCTACTAGTATTAATATTAATTGTCTTTCATTGTTCATATTTGTCGCCGTTGCGAAGTGATGACCGAGGTATATACCGCAATTTCTAACTCGCTTGACGAATTTCCGAAATAGGGCACAACCATTGGCAACAGCCTCAAGTACTTCACGCAATTTTCTATCCCACTGGCTGTTTAGATGCGCCAGCAGCTTTCTTCCAATATGTCGGTGAACGCGCGTAAGAACCGCTTTGTCTTCAATGCGGAAGTTACATAACCATTTGCATGAGATAGTCTACTATCGAAAGTGTACCCGTATCAGACGGTTTTATCGCGACTAATTGTGGTGTGTCCCCTTTTAGTGTTACGGTTAATTCCGACAGATCAAAAGTTCAATGCACTGTGAAAGTACAGGTTTCCATTTCATAAGGTAGAAAAGTTCACGGGATTTCTGAGATTAAAGAGGGTTTTAGAAAAAAGATAGACTCCGAAACCTCTGAACTGGCTTGGGGGCCAGTTCCCAGAGGATTACGGATCAAAAGAGGGCTTCAGAGAAAGAAAAAGGGCACGCCCTTGGACCTCTGGGCTGTCCTAGTTCAGTGAACAAAGAGGGACCTGAACAACTTACTCAATCTAAGATTGAGGGGGGAGTATCGAACATATTCCATTATAACCGATTTATCGCCCCCGTTGTGGGGTGCTCTCTTTTGGAGTTGCGGTTAATTTTAAAATCCATACTAGCATATTTGCATCTTTAGCCCTTGGGAAAGCGATTAGGGCCGTCCATAACTTCGTGTTGTCGTTACATATCTGTGAACTTCTGTCATCGCACTCTCGTGATCGGCAACAGCATTGTTCAGTAAACCTGGAGTTTTCAGTTGTGTAAGGTAACTTCAAGAAGGCCTATGCGAACCCAATTCAGAGAACTCTTGCTCCAATTCGTATAAGACCGAGAGAATTTCACGCTTCCTATAAGTCTCATAATCCGAGCAGGACCAGCAAGCGTACCGAACTTCAATAGCCATAGAAATAATATGTGGTTGTTGTAATATATATATGATTGGACAGAAAAACGTGTAAACTTTTTCTAAGAAAAATAAAGGCGTACCATTGTATATTTATAACTTAAGGTACTCGTAATTTATTGTAGAAAACCCATTAATGCGTCTCCGTTAATATAACCTTACTTTAATTTTTTTTTGTATAAAAAGTTATTATATTCACTATTACGCGGATAATAATATAATAAAGGATATAGCTATAATTTTAGAATTTAAAGATGTTATTTACTCATTTCCGAAGAAAGTCGGATTCTACCACTGGTACTTTTAGTTTTACTTATAATTATCATGTAACCATAATAAAGCTTAAGCCACAATAATATTTTATTTTTTTTGCAGAAATTTTTTTCATTTTATAACATTTTGTTATAGAAACAGAGAGTGAAATTTCTAGTGATTCTTCACAAAGTCTCGAAGAACAAACCGAAGTATAGATTTTTGTAACTATACGAGTTCAAAGTTAAATTTTTTTTTTTTTATAAAAAATCAGGAGAACAATGTGTTAGACTCAGAGTCACGAGAAGTTATTACTAAGCTTCTCGACGATAAGGTGGATATTACTCAAACATGAATAATTATTTTTTGTTCATTTCTTATTATTAGGAGATAGAAAACTTGGAGTCCGTTGAACATCGAGTTTTTAATATAAAAGAATCTAACTTAGGTTTTTAATATGTATTAAGTAACAGTTTTAATAATAAGCATCTTACACCAAGTCGATCAAGATGGCGATCTCGACCCTCATTTATGTAGCGAGTGTTTAACTGGGTAATATATATAATTGGTGTTTGTCTACACAACTAATTGATTTTTTACTTGCTTGAAGCATTTTACTGCATGCATTCTAATTTTTTTATTTTTATTAAATTTAAGGCCGGCAATACTTCGCTGTGTTGAATGTCAGGATGCCTTTTGTTTTACTTGTTTTAAGGTGCTTTAATTTTTTATTTCGCATCTTCGGTTATGTTTTATCGTTAATTATAAACTTTACCATATGTTTTGTTATTTACTACAAGTTATATGGTTTTAAAATATTTAATCGAGTATATTAATATTACTTGAAAATATATTTATTAAAAAAAGACAAAGAAGTACGAGTTAACCTGCTCCATTCTTATCATAATTCATATTTATATTAAAGTCTACTTGTAATTTTAAATTTTGACTAGTTATATTTCTTACAAAGATGATACATCGCTCTGGAAATCGGCAATTTCATAAAACAGAGTCGATGGACAACGATGGAGGCTCATTATTTTTATATATAATAATTTGTATTATTTTATTTATAATTTGTTATATTAGACTTGTCAACTTCGACTGTACCTGGTAATTTCTGCTCTTCTCTACCTCCTTCAGTTAACGCTATAAGCTCTAAAAAGTTTATTTTTATTTTTATATTTCTTATAATCTTCTTTGCTTTCTAGCTTATAAATTATTTTTCTGTTTAACTTTATAAATCACAGTTATTTAAAAAGAAAATTTAATTTTTTTTCCTGCGACTCCTGTTTAGCTTCCATTGCAATATTTTTAAGTGGATCATATATTTTTTAAAGAGTCGTTGAAAATAAATATATATATTAAAGAATTATTTTAAACTAAAATTCATGCAAAGTGTAATACTCTTACTTTTGGATGGAACTTAATACTATTTGAAGTTATTGCCTTCGACTATATTTTTTATTTGTATATATAAAATATTATGAATTTGATCACTTTTCTGTATAATAAGTATATTTATTATAAAGTGAATGTTCCGACCTGCTTATTCAGCGATCGAAGTATATTCCTTTGAGGCTCACTCTTCTAGAACGTAAGAAAATGAGACTTGTCGAGGCTACGCTTCATGTTTCCGAGTACACCGGTAATATTATTACTATTATTATCATTATTATTATCGATATAATTAATATTATCATTAGTATTACTATTTCATTATTATTATTTGCAGATCGTATGGACGTCGCTAAGTTTATTGATAAAAAGAATAGAACTTTACAACAACTTCGCGAGATATGCGCTATTCTGACGGGGGTTCTTATTTCATTGGACTATGAAGAAGGACAGCTTTTGATGGATAACAGAGAAGTTATTTATTAAACTAATAAAAACTTTTCTTATGCTCAATAACTATTGTGGATTCTCTCATATTATTGATACATTATAAGAGCTTTGTTAACATGTTTTTCTGCTTTTTCTCTTTTGAACATTATTTATATTTTGATATTATTGCACCTTTACTACTCTATATATTTTTCTTTGATTACTTTTATTTTGGCTTTGGGGGGGGATTATTTATAAAAATGAAACATATGAAGCTTGTTTACTTCATTTATACTTCGAGCAATTTTTTATTATTTTTAATATTTTGGAACAAAAAATGTTATTATATATTTATATTTACTTTTTTGTATAAAGTTTTGTAAATATGAAAAAATATATCAAGAACTCTTTGAAATTCCACGGCGGTATAAAATATTGAATCCCGAGAGAATGAGGTAAAAACTTTTTTACTTTACGTTTAATAAACTCATTTGTGTGTGGAATATATATAGATAAAGCAAAGCTTTTTTTTTTGTTTATTTGTAACATTTCTATGAACGAAGGTCCTCTTATGGAAAGCTAATGTACTTTTTACAAGATACATGCGTTTCGGAGATTCAAAACTTATTACAACTTAACTGCATTCGGCCAATGAGGACAGTATATTCTCTGTTGGCCGAAGTATTATTATTGTATATAAGATATTAGCTTTACAATATTCATGAATTTCCTATTTAATAAAGTCATTATATTAACCGCAATTAAAGAAAAATTTGTAATATTTACATAAAAGAGGGGAAAACTGGCATTATTAAAAGATTCAACTGTTGAAACCGCCACCAAAGTCATCACTTCTGCTGGGAAGTCTCGCTCCGAGGTTCAGCGAGATATCAAAAAGAAAAATGCCGGTATATTTATTTATTTTATTTTATTTTTTTTTATTAAACTTTAATAATTTTTTTGCCAATCGTAACATTAGTGCAATCAATATTTTAGAATATTATATATTGTGTGGCCCTCAAGTTTTTTTGAAATACTTTAATGCTTTTTTTTTGTGGGTTATTCGCTTGCTTACTAGCAACAACCGTAGTGATTGCATTAGTTTTGTTTTGGTTTTTGCGCTTTATAATAATTTGTTACTTTTGTTACTTGAATTTGTCATAATTACTTTTTTTGATTGGCTGCGATTGTATATCTTGATAGCTGTGGCCTACTTAGCGCGCACCTATTCTTCTAGTTCGCTATCAAAAGAAGAAATTGAACGCTGTCTTCACTCTATTAACGACAACAATACATTTCTTTACGCCAATCGGGATCCTTGTGAAAAAGTCTGTATTCCTTATTGGATTATTTGAACTCTGCATATTTACAGGCTTGTTACATAATAGATGATTGGTTACCTGAAAAAGTATTTCAAACCCGATTCGTTCGAACCTGGCTATTCGCTAGTAATTACAGCGGGAGCGGATGGTTAATTTATTTTATTATTAATAATTCATATTGTTGCCTCACGTGGTTATCCACTTATTTTAATTGTTATATCTGTTTATTTTTTGAGTAACGGCTATTTCTTTAAGCCGGCTTTCAAATAATTACTAAAGTAGATCAATTTTTTAGTAAAGTTGTATTGATATAATTATAATTATTTGCTTAATTTATATCTTATATAATAATTTGTATCGCCTCTTCCCTTTTGAAAATTGTGGTGTAGTGTTTGTTTATATGTTATAACTGTTCCTTAAATATTGGTATTGCTTGTCCTAAACTTATTAAAAAAGGCGCACGACTTTCACATTCCCATACACGTCAGTACTATTACTGTTTACAGTCTTTAACGCTTTGGCGGGAAATATTACATAATTTTTATCAACTTTGGTTTTGCACAGGTAAATTATACTAATTGGTATTTTTATATTATTTAAATGGTCCTTTGTTGGTATTTGTTTCCAGAGAAGGATTTGTTGAGCAATTCGAATTCTTATGAATTAAAAGATACTGGACAAGGCAGATTTAACATAAATAAAAATTATAAACTTTTTTTTAATAAACTATTTTTTTAGGCCTGAATCGGCTTCACGATTGTCCAGAAACTTTTCGCTTAATGCAAGAAATATTTTTAAATGCCCAACGCGAGGCATGACTATTTCACAATTATTATATTTATTTAAGTACAACTTATCTAAAGTTAAATATAGCCATTCGTAATTATTTTTACTTCTCAAACTTTATATCTTTTCTAATTATTGATATTTCAAATGATTGTTAATATAATATTATATTCATTTTTCACATATAATTATGCATATGAAATGCTTATATGTATTTTAACTTTATTGATAATATTTATTATATAAAACTACTTTATAGTATAACTTTTGTGGGTTATTTCATTTGAACAATTGAAAATTTTTGTAAAAAACTTTTTAAAATTATTTACGCTGTTTCAATAAAACTTCTGACCTTCTTTTAAATACTTTTAGGTTGACCAATGGATAGGCAGCGCAGTATTTCATTTGGGCGACCACAATGTTCCGAATGCATTAACTTTTATTTCGAAGGCTTTTTTATTCTATTAATATTATGAAAATTTCCAATATTTAATTAAATATAGTACACGCAAATATCGCAAATTCTCACGCCGATATGCTCCTGTTTGCAAAACATAAAAGGTCATTTATTAATATAATTTTTTTATCTCAAAGTTTTCTTGTTTTTATTTATTTTAAATTTGTTGTATCTTTTATGTATATATAACTAAACTTTATTGTAAACTTTTTATAGGAATTAGCGAAAACAAATATATCGCTGAATATATCAAAGATGAATTTGGTGGAATTGAATTGTTAACCAAAACAATTCTTAAAGATTTTTTCTGTCGAGCATTTGATGGAAGTGGCGCTGATAATTTTTATGACGCTGGCTCCTGTACACCTTTTTATATATTACTTTTCATTATCAGAAAATTTAATTTTATGTTTACTTAAAGAAAATGATTCAGTGTTAAGTAAATATTCGGTTTCTGTTGGTCTTAGCTATTTAGTTTTGTTACTTTATGCGTTATACGCACTGATACTCTGCTTTTTAAGCGTTTCATGAGTAGAGATAAGCAGTTTTTTATGCAAACATATCTTTATAAAATGCATGGAACATCAAAATCTTCCTTATAAAGTACTATATATTACCAAAAGTATTAAGTTTCCTACTGAGCTTTACTGCACTTTAAATACATCCAATGCCAAGTACTTCATCACTATCGTTTGCGCAATATATAAAGTTGATAAATAAAATTTTTTTACTTATTTATTTTTCAAACTAATCAGAAATGGTGCTTTCCACATATTTACTTACAACCTTTATTACTATATCATACCTTTGTGGGGAAGTGGGGGGATGATTATCCACTGCCTTTTAACTAACTTATCTTATAATTTTTGGTTATCCTCTTTTTACGTTATTGGACACTTTTTAATTTATATTATTTTCAAGTATTACTACGGGTCAAAAAAGATTCTATTAGAGCACCAAGTTATGCGTACAAGTAATTTTTTCTTACTGCCCTGTTGACTGGAGTATGTTTTAAGTCTAAAATAAACACTAAATTTAAGTTTAATAAATTGTTTTCCAAAAACAAATTTTACTTGATGATTTATATATTTGGTTTTAAAAAAGCTGAAAAAGAGTGGTAGTTTGTAAAGTATAGAAAGTTATCCTCTCATATATTATGAATTATTAAAACTCAAAAAGTTAAAATCATTTATATTGAAAGCTGATATGTAAGCGTGAAATTTAAATTATTGATCGGCTTCCAAAGTAAATGTACTGCGTAATGAGTTAAATAATTTTTTTTTTAAGTTTTTATAATGAAAAATTCTGTATATAAAACAGGTATAGATGGTCGCTTGACTTCTGCTTGGAACTGGTGTTCCCAACTGAAATCCAAACCTTTTTACTATATTTTTCTTCTTACGGGGTTTATTGGCTTCGATGGAGAATTCACTTAATTTGGGCTTTAATAAATTAGTTTCTTATAGAAATAAATAACACAAGTTTAATAAGTAGATTTTAAATAAACTGTACAAGCCAAATTTGTGAAGACTCCTTTAATAAAGTTTTTAAAAATTAGTTGAATCTCTTTGAAGTAGGGTTTTTAAATATATTATAATTAAAAAAATGTTATTTACATTTTTTATTTGTGAATTTCTATTTTTTAGAATATTACTATATTTATTTAGTAAGAATTTATTTTTTTTGTTTCCTTAAGAAAAAGCGTTTTATATATCACATAGCATAAATATTTAACAAGTTAAAAGTATATTTTGGGGTGCAGACCTTAAAAACCGACCAACGGTGTCTACTAAGAACAAGGCACAAGATCTTAAAGATCTATGCATGCACATGGCTTAATTTACTATATTAATACCTCCAATAAAAATGACTATTGTTCAATTTCATTAATTAAGCAAAATAGACATACAAAGATAGAAATATGTAAACTGCGTGATTCATTTATACGATTTCTAGGAATATTCTTTAGTTAATGTTAGTTTATAGTTTTTTATAAGTGCTTTATAGAGTACATAAATAAACTATATTCAACCATCAGTTAACGCATAGAACTAGTAAAAAAATAATAATCTAAAATTCAGATATTTTTAAAGTATTGTAGAGCGATACAAGAGATCGGATTTTTAAAGTATTGGAAGCAAATGAAAATACATATCGTTGTACGTATAATAATAGGTCGACTGTTAGAGTAAATTACTATTAAACTTGAATTTACAATATTGGGCTATCAGTTGAATATAATTCTTTATATGAATAAAACGACATAGACTATTTAGTTTCCCAGTAATCTTCGATGGGCGTCGCGATAAAGTTTTCTTCCATTTCATATAAATGCGAGCTCATGTCCTCAAGCATCTGCTGTAAAACTACCTCCGTGGTCTTCTGTGATTTACAAATAAGTTAATTGAATTATTGTACAGTATTTTTAAAGAGGCTACCTTTGCTTCTACTAACTTTTTCTGCCTCTCATTGACTAACATGTTTAATTCTTGAAAATTTTGAAAAGTAATCATATTTTTAATTTCAGTTATAAGTTGAAGTAAAGACTCCGCTCCCTTTACCTATAATATTTAAAAGAATTTTGGAAAAAATACAACTATGCTACTTTCAAAAACTAATAAGAAAATAAGAATTATACGAAGTAATGTTATAAAATCGCGAGTAGGCATAAGTTCTCTATAGAAAGGCATAGCTATGGGCTTAAAAGTTAACAAAATTTAACAAAGTTGTAAAATCGTAGAGTAGAATTTATGCAAGCGCGCACGAAATAAATTGCAGGCTTACATACTATTATTTTACAGGGAAGTGGAAGTAGTTGCTGTTTGAACTTATGAAATAGCTTCAAAATTCTTAAAACTAAAGATAATTTACTGCAACTAGGAACTTGATTGTTTATTAAGTTATGCAATGCAGGAATATCATAGGGGTAAGAGTTAATTTTATACCCACGAGTAAAGGAACAACAAAATTACGACAATGAACGACATACAAGATTATGTGTTCTAACTGTAATTTCAAACTTTTCTCGAGCACATAAAGTTGCCGTGGGGAGAGTGTTTCCACCATCGCTAATGTCTATCTGAATAGTGTTGTTAATAAGGGATTTTCGATATCTATTTTTTTATAAATGCGGAGAAATAAAAGTTTATAGAACATTAGAATAAGTTATTTCCCCAAATTGTTTAAAATTAGGACTATACCCTATAAGATCGGATAATATTATCAAAAGTGTCAAACATGATTTTTATGTTGTCATCTAAACGCCTATTTAAAAGTTCTTTGGTTTGAATAGGCGTTGAGGTCGCGGTCATTTTCTAATCGGACTTACGAATACTTTTAAAAGATATTCGAAGATAAGCTGATATTATATAATATAATATATTAAAAGTAAGTTTATAGATAAGCTGTATATCCGATTACAGACCAGTGAGCTAATTTGATTTTGAACTTGAAAAAAGTTTACGACTTAACAGCCAAAAGGCAACTTCCGCTTTAACTTTTAACTACTCGCTTTCCCTCTATTGGGCAGTAGAATACTCTCGCTGGTTCCTTCGTTCCTGCATCCCTTTAGTTGCCTGATGGAATTTTATTTGTTTATTTTACATAACCTCTAATAGTAAACTCCTTATACAAATTTTTTTTTATCTACGCTTGAAGAATATTTTCCCTTATTTATTTTATTACCAAAATAGAGCTATTAAGTATAACTTTATAATAAGGTTAAAAGAATTGATTTTTATTAACTTTTTTAGGGTTAATACAGAGAGAAGACTAGTAAATAAAGTTTACAAAGTAGTTTTCTAAAATCTCTTTTTAAAATATTATAAGAGACTTTGTGAATCTCGATTTTTTTTTTCAACATTTAATATTCGTTCCTGCAAAGTTACTAACCATTTGCAATTTTAAAGTAAAGTGACTAAGTTAGTTATAAAAGTTCTTCCAAAAGAGACTTCTCTTTTTTTTTTAAAAAAAAAAGTGATGAATAAGGCATAGCGATATTTACATTTATTTTCTTAACAGTTTTCATATATTTAGTATAACTATTTTTTATTATTATTTAAGGTTTGTTTTTTAAAACAGCTTAAAACTTTCTTCCTATGTCTTTTCTGTTCTTCTTCGTTAAAAGTATAAGTTCCTAAAGGATTCCCGCAAATTCTATAACTGCAATGACATCCAGCTTCGTGGCACTTTAGGGAGTTTTTAAAACAGCTGCAATTACTGGTGGTACACGCTGTAGTGGATAAAATCAATCAAAAAGAAGAAAAGTGTTAATATTGTATACAAAGCACAGAAGGATTTAACAAATGCCAAAAAAAACCGTTTTTTTAGGGATAAATTTAAGCTTTAAAAAATAATATACTTTTTAGTTAGTGTTTTACATAAATAAATTACGAAAAGTACCTTTTGAAGAAGTGCAAGAGCAGCCCGTTTTTAATCTTGAAAAGCGGATCACTTTTAGCTCAGCAGCTTCTCTTTTACATTCTTTATTTAAAATTTGTTTTAACCGATTCGTTTCGTCGTAATTCTTCTCACTTTCCGACATTTTTAAAGATTTTTTAGCTGCTTTTGTTATTATTAAGCCAATATAGTAAAATACAAGATAAACTAATTGAATTTATAGAATTTATAACTTACTTCTTTTGGATCTGCGTGTATAAATCCGTCGAGGTGACTCTTTCTACACAAAAAAGTGAAAAAAAAATAAATAAAGTATGAAATGTCTAGGAATAATTATAATCCAAAGATTTTAGATAATAAGTTTGACTTCTAAGATTTATAATAATAATAAAAATTCTTTATATACTCAAGCTAATTGCTAAGTATAAGTTTTTAGAAATATGAAATGTAGAATCTATGACTAACTTTGATAAAGTTTATTTTTTTAACTTCCAATATCAGATAATTAAAAAAATGTATTTAAAAGGGTATAACAGTGAAAATTCTAAAGCAACTTTAACGGTATAAAGTGAATTTAATCCAAAAATTTAGTAATACAGCAAAAGCTGATGCAGTTTTAAGCAAAAAACTGTTTCATTAAAAACAATTCATTAATTTATTTTAAGTTTAAAAAAAAGTGCCAGTGGGTAACCCGTACATATAAGGGAGGAAGCTCAAGCCGTTATGCAGTACTGATCTTAAAATTTATAGTCAAAAATCTTGAAAAATGAATACTCTTTCAAAAGTATTTCGTTTCATTAAATTAAATATTACATCATAACTTATCAACTTCACTTTAAAAGCTCTCTTAAAGTTGAGTATTTTTGGTAATCTCAAATATTTTAAAAATTCTCGGAGACCCGTTTATAAAAGCGTTACTCGCTCGCCATATCAAGTAAGCGCCGAACATCAATAGCAGCATGACCCTTTTAACTATAAAAACTTTACAAAATTTTCGTCGAGGGACTGTAACTTATTTCCTGGTAAACTAAAAAGTTTCTTAACAACACAAGCTTTAACTTTTTTAAAACTGCAAACAACTAATTTGCTAACGAATTTTATTATATTTTTGATATATATAGCTAAAAAAGATCCTAGCCACGCCTGAGAGGTCGGGTGTTGTAGTATAAAAGACTTCTTGGCACCAGTATTAATATAAAAAAAATTTAATAGCCACATATGAGTATTTTTTGAATATTATAACAAAACTTTAAGAAATTATAAAATTTTTTCTAACTTGTGCGGTGCATACAGAAAGAGTACACTTAAATTTGGTATTAATTTAAAAAGTATTAGCTAAATTATTAAAAAATTTATAATAGGTTATAGAATCTTTCATTTATTGGAAAGATTTAATAAATTTATTAAAATTTTATCCTTTTAAAACCTTGATATATAAAAAACTAATAATTATTAATAAAAAAACAAAACCGATCCGTATAATAGAAGGTTCCTTCTTTCCCTTTCAGTCAAAGAGAAACAGCGAAACTGTACATTTTTTTTCAAAGTCTTTTTTTCCTCGTTTCGATCGTAGTCACAAGAAGAAAACGGAGAAGAAGTGGTACACACAAAATTCCATCCTTTTATAAAAAATAATCTTGTTTATTTAAAGTGCACACTCGTTATTAAAATTTTTAAATTTTTACCACGATACTTAAAATGATTTTAAAATCTATTTCTCAAATGTTTTATTTATTAAAAAATATTTATAGTAATAAATTAAAGTATAAAAATTAAATTAAAAAATGATGAAAATAAATATATTTAAACAAAAAAGGAAAATTAAAAGTGCCACCCGGAAACATAATGTGATTGGATAAAACTGTTACTAAAAAATTCAGTAAATGTTTTTATGATTGTTAGTAGAGTTATATTTTGTTAAAATTTACCTTAAATAGCTGTATAGAGATCTAAAATAAAAGTAAAAAGAAAAAGTTATAGAAAAAAAATTTCATTTGAATATTATAATATACATCACCAAAGAACTAGAAAAATGTTCAGCAAAGGGACCAAGTATGATCACAACATAGTTATATTAGTAAACTTGATATATTGCTATATCAACTGTTATAATTTAATTTTTCTAAGTTATTAAAGGCACACTATATTAATAAATAGCAAGTTTAATAATGTATAGTAAAGTTGATATAGTAATTTAATAAGCTTAAAGCATATACATACGTAAGTAGTAAATAAGAAATAAAAGACATAAAACCAAGAACTTGAATATACTTTAAACCTAATAAATTGTGCAGATAAAATTACCAAAAAAAGACTTATGACAAAGTTTACTAAATTAAATATATTAGCAATATCTCTGCTTTTACACCCAAAATAATATTTCAAACGAAGGCTGAAGAAGAGCATGAAAAAATATATATATAAGATAACTACCTAATCCCAGAGGATAATTTCCCTCATCGGGAACACCGCAAGACCCACCAAATTGTCTCTCATATTGTCTTGTTAAGTAAAATTTATTTAACTTTTTAAGGAAAAAGTCAGTTCTTACCTTTCTTCTACTTTTCCAAACTTGACTTTAGGCTTTTCACCTTTATTTCTTTCTTTAGTAAAGTTTTTCTTTTTATCTTTTACATTATTATTCTGGATACTCGTATTATCTGAGTTGATAGTGTTACTATCATATGTGCTTTTAATGTCTTGTACCAAAATTTTAGAATTATTACGTAACTGAATATTTATATGTTTGCAATTTCTACTCTCCTTAGCTTTTTTAGTTTTAATAGATGCGGTTTTTTCGATAATTAAATGATTATTTTCTCTTTGAACTTTTACAGTGTTACTCTCCCTTTTACATGTAGTACTGTAGAAGTTTATAACGCTAAGATTGTCACCATCCCTTTCAAGTTTTTTTTTAGATGCTACAGGAGAAGGACTTGTAGCAGCTTTAAGTTGAAGTAATCTCTTATTTTCAATCACGTTCACTTCATTTTTAGCTTGAGAGTCTTGTAGTGTACTAAAAAATAAAATACGAGAATTTTAGAAACTTTAAGTTGTAATTGTAAAAGTAATTCCATGTTAAAAAAAATTAAATAGGCTAACAATTGATGTTCTTATTTCTAATAACGCTTTTCTTACGGCTATAACTTTAACAGGAATAAAAATATTAGATATAATAATGTTAGTCTTATTTAACTCTACAAACTCAAATAAGAAATATTGTGTGTACGTAATAAATACTGTATAAGACGCGTACGATGGAGTATGACACATAGTTATTGACATTTTCCTTTCTTCTCAACTTAACTCTTAATATAATTAACTTTTTTTAATATATTCAAAGTCCTTTTCTATTTTAAAAAAATAGTTTTATTACCTTACTAATCAATATAATAAATTTATAAAAACCTGTAAAAAACATTTAAATATCGTTCTTATCATTAGTACAGTAAATATATATTTTATTTAAATAACTTGCATATGCCTTCATTTAAAAAGTAATGATTTTTGTGATGTAAAATTAAACCACACCTGAGAGATATATCTATAGTCCATCCCCGTGAGTGGCAAGCGCACACAACCCCTTTCATTGGTGGTTAAGCTGGTAACATCCCTCTTATAACCAAAGTGTAGTTAGTAAACCAATTATTCAAACTATACTAATATTCATACCCAAAGTTTTGAGATTTTGATTTTAAAAAAAATTTTTAATTCTTTTTATTTTTACAATATGACTATTTATAAAAAAATTTTATTCAAAACTTGCACTTTCGCAGTTGCGTTTTTTTTGTTTTTTTTATCTAAATAGCTTGTCATATGTTAGATCGAGTAAACACAAACATTAAGATTGTACTTATTTTTAGTAAATTTAGAAAAGTTAACTGATTTAATGTTTGTCCTGCTTTATTTAAAGTTCAAGGCTTGCCCATAAAAATTTTTGTTCTGATAGAATGAGTTCATTAACCTTTTGCTCTCTCGAATAGTAACTGGAGTTTAAAGCAAAATATTAACCCTCTAGGTGTCCAATCCGCGACAAGGTTAGTTAGATAGACTCCTTCTACTTACGGTTATTTTTTTTTGAAGGAGAACAATTCCTTTATGGATAAAGATCCCCAGGGAAGAGCAGGTTCTCTTTAAACAACGCAGCGGCCGCTCATTATACATAAATTTTTTTATTTATTACTTCTGCTCAAGGTAACCCAGTAGAAACGGGAAGCTCAAAAAAACTTTTTCAGGTCTCAGCTCTATACTTGTACAAAGTGGCGTTTACTTTTTTTAAAAAAAGTTAGAGATTGTTACCAATACTAAGAGATGTTTTTTATGGTTTTTTTAAAAAGTTATTGTTTTTTATTCTGCTTTATCATAATTTAATATTGTTCTATTTGCATTGTAGGATGCCCCAGTCAGCACAAACCCTGCACAGTCAAGAAGTACCTCGCTTGCTTCTGGAAAGCGAAGAGGCACTAATTTAATAAGCTTTATTAAAAACATTAAAAATTACTTTACTTCCTAATAGTTAAACAAGTCACTAAAAAGGCAACTTCTTTTACAGTTGAAAGAGTAAATAAATCGCTTTTTACAGCTCCCTTTACTACTAAAGACTTTATTGATAGGTTTTTTCATACACTTAATTCCTGTAAATATACTTTTTATAGAACTCTAATTTGTAACAGAATTTTTTTTAACGAAATTGACAAAGCTAAAAATTTGGATAAAGAAACTTTTCAGGGTATTTTTTTAGTGTGTAGTATGGTTTATAATATTTCTTAAAAAATAATTTTTTAATTTTATAAAAGGGGTTGTTAATAGTCACTTTTTATACTCTATACTTTTTAACAATCTATTTAAATAAAATATCTTATCTTTTCTAGCATTCCTTCCGGATTCTTTCATAGATATTATTGAAAGTTCAATGGGAGCATTATTTGATTTAAGCACAGAGGTTGAGCAAGTAATAAAAGAAGGAGAATCCGAAGTTATAGAATGTGAGGGGTTTTATAAACAAGTAAAACAAGTTTTTATATCTTTATAAGCCAGCTTTTCTTATACTAAATTTACTATAAAACTTGATAACAGAGAATATTACTTTAACTCTTGATTTTGTTTAATACTATTGAGTATAACCAAAATATTACCACAATTATTTAATTTTAAAGATTTAATTAAAAATAGGATTAAATGCTAATTTGGTGTAATGCACACCACAAAATCGCCCGTTATATCTCATCTTTGAAGGACAATTTATTAGATTTATAAAAAATTAAAATTCACTTGAAATAGTATTAAGAGTTAATAATAAATACTTTAGTAAGTAATTAATAAACATAACTTAAAAGTTCAGAAACTCAGTACTTTTTATTTATTTATAAAATGATTGACGATAAATTTGTTTGCTAATTGTTCGAGTTTTGTAAAGATTTTGATCTCTTTATTAAAAGCGTGGTTTACTTTACAAGTAGAGGAAAGCTTTACTTTTATTGCAGATTCTGTGAGCCAGTAACTTTATTCTATAGAATATAAACATCCCTTTTTATTTGAAAAAATCTAAATAGCTAAAGCACTTCGTATTAAGCCTTAATCCTAAAATCTTTTTTATAAAACTTATAATTCTAAAAGTCACTATTTATATTATAACAAAGCATCAAATATAAGCGAATTCATATTAAATTTCTAGTGCATGTGCTTATTAACGGGAGGCCCTTCTTGATTTTTGCACTTCTGCGTAGTTATGGTCTTAAAGCTTTTTATTAGCCCTCTATTTTTGATCTATAAAGGCACTTATACAATGTTGTGGTTTACCACGTATTTCAAAAGCACCTACTCATTGTTAATTTTTAATTTAAAATTTAAAATTTTAACTTTTTTTTATATACTGAAGTTAATTTGTAAGATTTCAAAATAAATAAATTTCCAAGAGCCATTAGAGTTAACTAAATGATTTTATTAGTTTTATCTCTGATTACTATATAATATATACAACTTCCCTTATGAATTTCTTGAAGGATCTAACTAATGTTTTCCAACAACTGGAAATTTGTATCAATAATTTTGAGACTTTGGTAAATCGGGTAAAGAATATTGCTGGAAAAACTGTTTATGTCGGTAATTTTTTTATAGTCTTCCTTTAATAAAAGCATTAAAATAGTTAAAATATATTCAAGCAATATTATAAGATTTTTTTAGATTTTTAATAATTTGACTCCATAGTAAGTAAAAATAAAAGTTTTTATCTATACATCTGCTTTTTTGTAGGAGAATAGTAATTTTTTAAAAATATATTTTTTGTTAAAAAAGTGAAATAATTTAATTTATTAATCGCAAAGTTGCACAACAAAAAGGTATGTAGTTGGACGCGCATTTAATAAGTTTGGAATCTTTATGCGTTCCACAGTTTTTTTTATAGTACTTTGTGCTATACATTTGCTAAATACTAGGAGATCGCTTGGAATCAATAAATTCGAAAGTCGACAGAGCCAGGAAAGTAAGTTTTTTATCTTTTCATAACTATTTATATATGGATTTTATTTAAATTAAAGGTGAATCTTTTTTTTAAATAATGATTTTGCTTTTTACAAATACTGCGAAGTTTATACGTTCAAGAATATAATTATTATCAGAAATTTGAATTTACGGAAGTTTATTAGTTATATGTTAGAGAATTATATAGCTTGAATAAGTTAATTTAGAATTAAATTTAAGTTTTTTCAGAGGAAGTAAGCTGAACAGATTTAGTTTAGGCTACAAAAATAATACTGGCGTGATTTCCCTCCTTTTTATAAGTTTCTTTACCCTCGTGCCATGCTCTTCCGACCTGTTCGCGTTTTTTTTCAGAACTAATGATTGCAGAAATAAACGAGAGTACCGAGCCCATTGTTGATTATTTGAACGCGCCACTTTGCTTATATTATGCCTGAACAAAGCAATTAAGTACAGTCAGCAAACATTCCGTCTCTGAACTTCCCTTCATTTTTTCTTTTTTTTAAGAGTAAAAAATAGTAAAAGATTTGTGTTGGCTTCTTCTTGCGAAGTAAAGAGGGGTCACTCCTTCTTTTTATTATAATTATATTTTGATTTAAAAATTTTATATGAAACATTCTATTTCCTTCTATACTAATAACTTAAATTTTTTTTTTATTATATTAGTCAAATTTTAAATAGGGTGTTACTTTTTTACTTTATAGTGAAAGTTAAGAAAATCATCTAATAAAGTTTTTATTATATTACGTTTAAGTAAAAAATCTCGCCTTTCTTAAAAGTTATTAGATAATATTTAATTTAATATTTAACGTATATTTTTATTTTTTATTATAGCAAAATTATGTTCTTTACTTCTTACGTAGGAATAACTATTCTTTTTCATAATTATTAATAAATATAGGACTTGTAATATTCACTACTCTTTTATTAATTTGTTAAATTTATAGCGATGTTTGTGACTCTTATAAAATTGTTTATTATAATTATTTTTACAATATTTTGAGGGAAAACGTTAATTATATAACATTTTCAGCTGAGTGAAAGTAAAACTTGTATTATTAGTATCATTTCTACTCACAACCATCAACTTAAAGGCTGCTGAACTTATTGAATTATTTGAGAATTTTTCTAATTTTTATATGAAAATGGAAAATATTTATGAAGCAGCAGAAATGATCCACAAATTAAAGTTGACGGTTCATAACTTGCCTGGTATAATATAACGATTATTTACTCTATTAGCGTTTATTATTGGTAGTAAAAGTAGTAAAGATCCAACTGCCTTCTTATTCGGTAAGCAGATATCTTTCTACCAATAATGATAGCCTCCTCTTTCACAATTCTCGGTTATTATGCTCATCGGCTTTTTATACTATTTCACTGCTTTTTATTAATTATGTCTAAAGGCTTTAAATGAGTATTTTTATTGGTGAAAATAAGATATAAAATAACATCCTGCTTAGTTTGAACCAAGGAATGCGCCACTTTTGTGCGAGAATAATAATTAGTAAGAGAGGAAAATTAAGTAAAAATTTACTGGCTACTTTTTCTGCCGTGAACTTTTCCTACATAATAACGCAATACTATAAGACTCAATGCGTTTATAGTTTCATTAATAATTTTTAAAACTACAAATATTTATAAAAAGGCTTCGATCAGGAGAGAAGTCAAATACTCGAAACTTCTGAGAAGATCAAAACCAAACTTTTAAAAGATTTTTCTAATTCCTGCGCTGAAAATAATTTGGAAGTAATGAAAAATTGCGCCACCGCCCTTCTTAACTTTGATGGTATTTAAGTATCTGCTCTTTTTTTTTCTTATTCTAGTTTTCTTAATTTATTTTTTTACTACCGATTATTATAAGTTTTTATAGTAAACATTTTTTATTGGTTCTTCTTAATAAGTTATCTGTAAGTTTTTTTTTTCACAATATTTTGTTCATAAAGCGGTTTTACCAATTTTATTTATTTTATAAAAATATATTTTTCTATAATTACTTTTACTTTAGTGATTTTTTTAATGAATTTTTCTATAATATTTAATACATAAAGTTTATATTTGCTTTATTCAGATGGTCTTAATCTTTGCATAAACGATTACATTAATCAGCACCCCTTCTTTTTTTCTAAGGAAAAGCTAATGAATTCTGGTTAGTAGAATATTTCATTTCCTTTTTAGTATTCAACATTTGTTATGATATCAAGAAAAAGAAGAAGATTTGTTTCTGCGAACCGCCAATCTCTGCACCGAAGTGGTCGATACCATCCAGCACGTGTTCAGAAGACCAGAAGTGGTCATGGCAAGGTTAGAAATCTTGTCAGTTTACTGACCCCCTTTTTAATATTGGGCCAATTTGCGCTCTGTCTAGCCATTCGCGCCCTCTTTAGCAAACTTTTAACTAATAATACTTTTGGTACATTAAAAAAAATTTCATTAAATCAAAATAGAGCATTCTGCATATTATTTTTACTTAGGCTTTAGAGAAAAGGCCGAAGTACCGTGGGTTTGTTTTTGTAACCACGTGATACTGTTTCTTTTTTTATTACTATTCAAGTTTATTATCGTTAGCTGTGTTTAATAATACGTAACGAACTCCAATAATTTAAACTTTAAAGGTTTCTTCAAAGAATTTTTGAACAGAAACTTTCACAATTTGTGGACGAATCACTGAAAGCTGCCGGGGATAAAGGTTGGACTGCTTTACGTTACATTTAAAAATATATACCTCTTTTTATATTTTATATATATTTATTATACATTATTATATAACATGGGAGTAAAGTTTGCTTCCTAGTGCTATCTATTATAAATTTTTATATAAAGCACGGTGGGAAAGCAAAAACTTTGTACCAGTCTCACACTCATATTTGCATGCTCTCTGCTTTATTACTTGTTAAGTTTTAATTTTTTTTTTTTAATATTTTTTTCTGAGTAGGGGTCCTTTGCTATCTGAACAAACTAACAAAGTTTCACCAGGAAGCAGAAGATCTGAAAGATCTTCTACAGAAACTAGACGTCTTCAATGACACCAATTTCCTTGAAAGACTTACTGAGAGGTTCCCACTTATATTCATATATATATACTTTGTTATTTTATTAATTATGTAACTCAACGGTTTTATAAAATACTTTTATTAAATGAATTATTCTATTTTATTTTTTTTTAGTATTATTTACTGTTCACAATTATATTCACAATATTCTTATGAAAGTTATTTTGATTTTATTTCCTTTGTAACGTTTATATACTTTTTTGTACTCCTGCTTTATAATAATAACTTGTTGTATTACAATATTGTTGTATTACAATATTATTATCGTTGCACCTCTTATTTTTCTTCCCTGCTCTTTCCTATTCTTTAGGGTATATTGATACTTTTATGTTGTACCCTCTATTTTTCGATTTTGCGTGTTGTGTTTAGGCGTATTTCAATATTTCTTATTTTCTTCTTTACTCTGAAATCATTGTATTCTTGGTTTCTCCAACTTCTAACTTTATTTATCTTCTATATTTTGTAGTTTATTTTTAATGTATAAATCGGATGGAAATTACATTCAAACGGAGCTTTATTCACTAAAAAACTTGAGTTCTAAGGCCATCAGTCAACACTACCAAAAAATCGTAGCACCCATTTTATATATAAAATGATTGAAGTTATTACAGATAATAATATTATAATATTCGCCATTTATTATATTTTAATATAATAAATGTTATAAATATATATTAAAGGGCTACAGAAAAGAAGAATATGAAAAGAAATTTTTTCAAGTCACTAAAGATGTTGATAAGCAGTTGTGTTGGAAAATGGCCAATTTGGATGTTTGCTTGAGTAATGTGTTATTATTGTTAATGTTGCTTCTTATGAGTATTACTATCATACCCATTATATTTAAAAATTATTAATTCAGGCTTCATTCAATACCATCGAGAAGCCTTAGAACGATGCCAAAAATTGTCCGCTCACGACCAAGTGGCTGCTAACTGTCAGTCCATATTTGAAAATCTGCTGGATCACATGGTTACTGAATTTCTTGAGCCCGCATTGGACGCGTACGTGAGGATTATTAGGCTTCCTTGCTTGGCATACACCGCTTTATAGTGACATTGTGTAGCCAGTTATAAACATTTTTGGCCTTGTAGGCATATAATAATTAAAAGGGTCGCTATAGAATTTCTTGCTTCCTCGACTGACAGGCAGATGCCACCCAATACTTTGCTGTCATTCGAGGGTTGATAAATGTGGATATTCCAATAACGCCTATTAGCAGTCGCGCGACCATTAACCGCAATGATTAATATGATATTACGATTATTATTATGACTACTAATAACTTTGGAGTAGCGGGAATGCAGCAATTGAACATTTTGACACTAAAGAAGAGCCTGATTTTAACTTTCTGCAATTGGTTTTTTGCATAACACAAAGTGTTGCATTTTTAGTGAGTAGTTTACTTTATCTTTCTTTCATGTTGGTTATCTGCTTTTTTTTGTTGCATGCAGAACAATTTTTTCGATAAACACGTCTACGCAATGTTGATATCATCTTTTTATGTACAAAAAAAATCACGTGAAACACTTCAGGTTTATGTTGAGGTAAAAACTTTATTGTTTAAATAGTAAATAATTAAAACAATTAATGACATTATAAAAATGGTAGAAGCTCCAGAGTAAAGTGGAACAAGGGCTTCGTCTACTCTTGAAAGGTTGTTGATTATTATTGTTATTATTATAATTATTAATATTATTATTACTATTATTATTATTATTCAGCTACCAGTAGTTATATTTCGCGTTGTCTTTCGTATCAAAAAAAGGATATTTACAATGTGGTTGTCTTTGAACATGACTGCACACCGGTAACAATAATTATTATTAATATCGTCATTGTTATTACTGTTATTACAGACTTTCATTATGATATGTAGTTTCCTTGAGAAGCAAGTTGAAATTGTTGAAAACGGATTAGATGGCCGAAACAAGACAAACTTTGTTATGAACATGGCAATGAATTTACAAGTACTCTACTTTGTAAAACTCAATTATAATAGTAGTAATGAATTTCATAAAGAACATTATTCTACAAAACATCTCCAACCGGCTAACCGTAAACGAGCTGGGCGCTTTACTTCTTCTTCGCGACGTGGATATGGTCATTCAGAGCATAAAAAAGTTCCAAGTAATTTATATTGTTTTTTTTTAATTATTATAATGAATGTAACTTGAAATATTTTTATATAAACGCGAGTTTTTAGATTTACAATAACCTATAAAAAGATTTGTATATCACGCTTGAGAATAGTTTTATTCTCACCACTTTTTACCGTTGCGAAGATTGCGTCGGCCGCTACTATCTTCTCTCTTCTCCGCGAACTCTGTAGCGTGTTGACATTACAAGCAAATAACGTCGTCGGTGGAATAATGAAAGGTATATATTTACTAAACAATCTCTTTAGCGTGCTTTGTATTGTCTTGTTTATAGTTCTTGTCTTTGTGTTTGAAATTTTTTCGGTTGAAATATAAAGAAAGTGTTATTGTCAAAAAAACGAACGTTATAGCGAATCATTATATATTTTTTGTTTAATATTATATTTAAGGATCCCTTAGCCGCCTGAACAAGGAAAATATTACTTTTTTACTGAAGTGTAGAGCGGATTGGACGCGCAGCAAAAAGCTTATACTTTCCTCACTTAAAACTTCATCACATTGATAGCAATAAAAGTTTTAAAACTTAATTGTACAAACACTTGACTATTAAGTATAGGCAATTGTAAAAGGTTAACCGAAGGGTTTATAAAGATTCTATTAAACAACGCTTGGAACCGTTAAACTATATTTGTAGTCTAAAATTTATAGAGAAAAGTGCGCACAAATCTCTTTAATATTTTTATTTAATTCATCTTATTCGTAAAACGACCCCCTGCCTACGCAGTTCCACCGTCCAGAGCTTACTGTTAGAAGACAAATTGGTTATAAAATTCTAAAGTATAAAGCGAGTGAAGATTATCTCCTGCATTGGGCTGTTTCGCTTTTTTCGCTTGAGACATAGAAAACAATTTATCATATATATAGTTAAGATTAACCAAGTCTAAAACACAAGTTAACAATGCTTTAGCATCAAAAGTTCAACCTATATAAAAAAATTGTTATAATCACTTTGATAACCGGCCATGTTAACTTATCTTTAATTTACTTTAAGAAAAAGCCTCGAGGTACTTCAATTATTAGAGCAGGCCTTAATTTCTTAGTATAAAATAAGGCTTAAAGTTCGTTATTTATTAAACAGTTCACGATAACTCACAAATCCAGATTCTACTAAAGTTCGCTTGGATGACATAGACGATACCACTGAGGCAGACAAAATTCAAAGCCCAATTCTCTGGACCTTAAACGTTTAAGTACTGAGAAGAACGTTGCTTTGATCTCCTTTATAGTTTCTTTAGGAGAGTTCTTGTATTTTTACGTGACTAACGCTTTATTGATTTCCAATAAACCTTTACTTTCTAAGTGGACCATAACTTATAGATAATATAACTTAAACACAGTAATTAACTAATGCCGAGTTAACTGCTCGTAAGTCTACATAAACTCTTCGGTACGAACAAATATATTACATGGGTCTTATAAGCAATAAAAAAGTTCACCGGATTTACTTTTTAAAGCACCAGTGAAGCCAAATACTATGCAATTTTCAATAATTTTGAAAATAAGCTTTGTTCCTGTTCTAAGTTAATCTTCTAGATAGGAAGGTAAAGATGAAAAAAATTCTTTGAAAGTTTTTTGAAAAAGCCCAGAGTTTTATCTCAAATATAATATTCATAGTCCGGCAGACACTTTAGTAAGTAAAGCTTAAGCTTCATCTTATATTACTTTATATTGATTACTACAAGAACTAACAAAAAAGATGACAAGACTTAAGATGGCAAATTACTACCAAAGACTTATATTAACAAACTACTAACTCATAAAATTTTTTTATTCTTGCATTTCATATTTTATGAAATATCGAGCTTTAAAAGGTATTCTTCCTTTACTTTATATGAAAGTATTGCGGCTTTAAAGATGATAAATAGAATTTTTTTGGGTTGTAAAAGTAGTTTATTTTTAACGAAAAAGTAATATGTTAAGAACTAATAAAATGTCTAAAAGTAAATAAAAAAGTAAGAAGTTATATTATAAACTTTACTATTTACATAATTTTCATTAATTAAAGTTTCTATACTTTTTCTATAAAACTGCTAGACTCGACTATCCCAATGGAAAATTTTGCCAAATTAAAAAAGTCAGAAGCCTCGGATTCAGTTTTCATAGTGCACAAGTAACGCCTTCGTAAATATAATTACAATTAGTTTACATTTAGTTTAACTAAACAAACATTATTATAATTATTTATAAAATAATTAAAATAAACGATTTATATAGTAATATTTGCAATAACAAAAACACGAAGTCTACTTTATAACAACTTTGCAGTTTTCTTCTTGAGCAATATTAAAAGATATACTTTTAGACTTCTCCTTTTTCGGGTCTAAAGTTTGCGTAATAAACGAGCTAAAGATAACTTTTTGCATCGTAAAAGTGCGAAAGTAGATTCTTCTTTTATCTATTGAAGTAAATATCATGAGTATTATTTATATTACTTGCAATATATAAGCAAATAAACATGTTCTTCTATAATCGTACACATTAAATGCGATAGAATAAATAAAAACAGCCGACGAATAACTATAATATATGAATAGTATATATATAAAAAAGGATATATATGATAATTATATAAATTGCTTGCAATATGTGAAGATTTTAAAGTAAACACTCATCAAAGTATTTATAAAAAAGTTTTTAATAGCAATTGCAAATGTTATGATAAAAGGTTCAGAGAACTTTTGTATTAAAAAAAAAAAACAAAAGAAAGCTGCTTTTGTCTATCTTGTAGTAACAAAACTTTGATATCAGGTTTATATAATATTGTGTAATAAATATTTCGTAAAACAAAATTAATAAACTTGCTAATTTGTATAATATAATAATAAATATATGAAATAAATAAATTAGAAAAATAATCAAAGTATAAGTAATAATTTTTAAGTAAATACAAATATAATTTTTGTAAGCAAATGAAAGAGAATAGAGATTTAAGAGAAATGCAAGGACGTAAAGATATACGCCCATAAACCAAATTTGTCTTAAAACTATGAAAAGGCAAAATAATTAAATAAAAGAATAGAAAAAAAAGGATTATCATAAACATATAAGTTAAAAAATACAAATTCTATATGATTAATAAGAAATAGTTCATAATTTGATATGCAACCAAAACGTCGACCAGTAGAAACTTACAGTACTAAAGAGTTCTCGCAGTAAAAGCACGTGCTCTTTTTAATGAACGCGTATCAGGGCGTAAGAAAGGAGGTTGTGGCACAGTTTAAGGAACGTAAACACCACATATATAATGATTATTTCATTTCCACTAATAAAAAACCACAAAAAGGTAATCATTAAAAACGCCTTGATTATACCGGCGCGTTATTGGTTACAAGATAAACAAAAGCATGTTTTTATCATGCCACTGTTCTAGAGGTTAAGCTCAACGGCGGAAAAAAAAAACCAAACTATTATAAAACAATGAAAATAATAATAATAAACTTTCAGTTCAATGAATTGTATCAATAAAAAAAAAGATAAAAAAGTTTCTATAAGTAAAAAGTCAGTAAACCTTTGTATGGGCCACCAATGAATTCATTGAAACGCAAATTTCCAAGCCCAATTTCCTCCCAGCGTGCCTTGCCCGCTTCTATTAACAGCACAAAAAGTTTGCACTTCGCTGTAAATAAATTCTTTTCATTTTCTTCTCCTTTTATTATTAGCTCTACCAATAATAAAGAAAATGTGCATTAATCAATATTTCAAAAGATAAAATATCATAGAATAAGCAAAAATAAAAATAAAAATATTATCTACAATACACTGAAATAAAAAAGTAAATACCAATAATTAAAAATACAACTAAAAAAATTAACGTTCATAAAAATAAAAGAGTCAACGTTAAATTTGCGATAAAAAGAGAATAAATGACAGTAAAGTTTAAATATACAAATAAAGATTTAAAATTAAATATACTAAAAAGTGAAGTAAAAACTCAAAATAAACAAAGTTATTAGCGGAATACTTTTTTTTTTAAAAAAATATGGAAATAAATATATTAAAGTTATAAAGAAAACGGGAAAAATATAAAATCACTGCCTTCACTAATCACCGGCTTCAACTGTTCGGGATTTTCAATGGGCTCCTCTTCAGGCACTTTAATATGTTAAAAAAATATAAAAAAGTATAATAATATAATTAAAAATGAGTTCAAAATTTCATGTAATAAGCAAAAAATATACTTTTCATAAAAAAAAATATTATCGTTAATAAAAAGTTTGATTGTAATTAAGTACATTCAGTTTTAATGACTGTAAATATATTTTCATAATTATTACTTTAGCGTATATAAGTATTACTATCTAATTACTGCATCACAATTATTTAATAAATTGCTTATAATGATGTAATTATTTAAAACGCTTAATGAAAAATATTATAAAAAGATTATAAAAACCCCAAAAGTCTTTTATTTTAGATATAAATGAGTAATAACCTGAAGATAATACATTTCCAAAAGTTTTAGGGTCCTTTATAAATACGAATAGTAATAAATATATGAGAAAACTTTCATTATAAAATATTATAAAATAAATGAATATAAGCTAAAAAAAATAATATCTTTGCATTATATAAAAGCATAACTAATAACTGATATGTATATAACAACTTCTCATTAATGATCAATCATAATATAAAAGTTATTTTTAGTTAATTTTATTTTAACAATAAGAAAATATATAAATAAGATGCAGATATAAATTATTATATAATATAAATTTTTTTTTTTAAAATATATAGAATTACAAGTTTTAATAATGAATAATAAAAAATATATTTTTAATAAAAAACAGATTTTATAAAAAGTCATAAAGTTACTATTAGCAGCGCATACTGTTTTTGAATTTATTAGATCAGAATAAAAATAATACGTGTAAAAAAAGCTTTATTAAAAAATATATAAAATTATATAAGGGGTACGCTGGAAGAAAGTGAGCCAAAAGTAGCACTGCTTGGGTTACCTTTTATTTTAAAAAGTATTTAAATACATTATAATTCTAAAAAAAATTAGAGTAATATCAGATACAGAAAATTAATAATAAAAAGTTAATAAAAATTTAAAGAAGTATAAAATATATTAAGAAGTTATTGAGGTCAATAGAAGGTTATAAAATTAATTTAAAAATATCCATATCGTATAGTTATTTACTTACTGAAGTTATAGAAAAGTTTTTATTTAAAAAAAAAACAAGTATTGAAATTTTTTAAGAGTAAATGTATATAATTTATTTAATAAAAACAAAACTATTGTATATGTTCTATATTTTTGATAGTAAAAAAAAGTACTTTACTTTAAACTGTTTTGTAACCCTAAAATATACAAATAAAAATAAATTTATAACATAAAAAACTTTTTATATAATAAGTATGATAATTCAAAGTATAAAAGCCACGAGATTAGTGCGTTCATTAAAGCCTGCTAACTTGACATATGTAATATATATCGTAAAAAATACATATTATGTTATAATAAATATACAATAGAATGAATTACAATTGTTTAGTAATATAAAATATAATATTATTAAAAAAAGTATCAATAACTTAAAAAACCCAAAAAGGCATATGGCGTATGAGAAATATATAAATATACTAAAAGAGAAAGCGGTTGAGGCAGAAGAACCAAACAAGCTGGAGTCGACGGAAAAAGAGTTTTTTGGATTCGCTTCATGGGAAAATACAAGTAAATAAATCATAGAGTTGAAAAAATATAAAATTCGACATATACAGTAAATAAAAGGGAAAAGGTAAAGGTCAAAGCAAGTAGAGGATTCACAAAACTCGAAAATTCTACTAGTGAAGTATAAAAATAGGCAAACTTCCACTCTTTCAAAAAATAGTTCTTGTGTATATAATATTTAATAGAAAGAGCATTTAACGTTTAAATAAAGTATTTTTTTTATATTTTTCTTATATAGATCAAAACAATAGCAGGCAGCCTTATAGATCGGTGAGTCCCCAAAAAATTTACCGAACAGTTTTAAAATACCTTGCGATTAAATTTAATATACTAATTTAGAATAAATTGTACTCACATACTTTATAAATTAAATAAAAATTCCAACTTATAAATTCTGAAATTATACTTGTCAACGAATCAGTAGAGGAAATTTTCTCGGCCCGAATAACTTTTGCATGTTGAATGTAATCTTCAAAAGACTTTGTAAAGTCATATATCTTGCCAGTTTCGTGGTATTTTTTAAAAATGTTAGAGATTGCAGAATTGAGAGAGTAGAATTTAGACTTCAATAGATCTTCATCCTTTTTACTTGGAAAACCAAAAACAGGAAACGACGGCTTCGGATTAATGTTCGAAAAAGGAGTGGCATTTACAGTAGATGGAAACAATAATTCTAGAAGAATTTTCTTTAAATTACAAAAAATGAAATATTTATATTTACTGGCAGAATCCGTAGGCTTTAAGCTTTCGGGTACAGTGGAAACTATATTTTCTTAAACGAAAAAACATAAAAACATAATTAAAAGTTAGCATCTATATAAAATACTTTTAGTATCCGTCATGTTGGTGTTTTCGCAAAAACTAGAGATATCTCCAATTAAGCAAAATTAGACAAATAAGTTATATTAGAGAAACTAATCATTTAAGAAATAAAAAATTTTTATAAGATGGAAAGATAATAACAAAAAAACATTAGATAAAATTATGTATAATATATAATTAAAGAAACTTTTTAGCCGAACAGTTTTACACTAATTACCGAAAGCTGTTACAAAGGAACCGTAAATGTGAAGATGGAGGCAAAAAAAAGCGTACATTGCAATTAGAAAGAATTAAATAGAGAATGAATTAGTGGCCAATCTGGCACTCACGTGCAACACGCTGCAACCTTTTGTCTATTAGAAGCGAATACGAAATTTAGGTAAGTTGTCCCCTCCTTTAAAAAGATGCGAGCTAGTATTTTAATAAAGTTCATAAAAATATGAATCTCTAGCAAGCCAGTGAGAAAAGTTGATAAAAGCTTGGTCGACGAAATTGCTATAACGTAAAATTTATAAAAAAATTTATTCCCCTTTTTATAAAATAAACTCGTACCTCAAGAAAAAAAGGACATAAAATATTAAACTGTGAATAAAAAACTAGTATTACAAAAGGTGACCAAACATAACAATAAAGTGAAAAACTTCCAAAAAGTGCATAGCTATATAAGGCGAAAGAAAAATAGAGAGAAAGTAAAAACTCAAGATTAATATCCTTTAAAATTGTATAAATCCTCCAAATCTCTTTTAAAAACATAACAAATATTAAAACGGCATTAAAAATTCAAAAAAAAAAGCGCAAAAAAATTACTCAGGTTACCTTTTGAAGGAGAAATGAGTAAATAAGGACGAATTTATAACTAAATTATTATTAACTTACTTTGACTGCTTCCAAAAAAGGAAACTGGTTTTGAATTGAGGAAAGAATTATCTGCTTATAATAAGATCACTTTATGGTATATGTGAACAAAAATAAAAATAATAGTTACCAAAAGTAGGTCTCAGCTCGTTGTTGTTAACAGTAGATTCATAATTAAGTCTACGGAAATAAAATCACTAAGTTGAATAGAGTAAAAATATATTAGTATTTACTTCTCAAAAGGGGGATTAACTGGCTGGTCAATACTGGCCGCAGAAGCTTTTTATAATATTTTTTAAAAAATAAAAAAGACATTTTTTAAAAGAAAGCATTTTACAGTAAACTTCGATTCTATAATAATATATAAGCTAGAACAACAAACCAGCTCTAATATAATCTCTATTTCGCTCGACCATAATGAGAAGACAAGCACAACTGCAGCTAAGAAAAAGATAGCCAAAGTTAATTCGTTTAAACAGCACAGAAGCAACGCTACTTGTAGACTCCCTTACCCACCCCCTTTCGTGTACTTTTCGCTTGTGCTCGAAAGGAGTTGGCACAATTTTTGGGATATTTTTGTAGTCATAGAAAAGGGAGGGTTAACTCACATTGAAGTTATTGTACGTTTAAAAGGACATAGCTGCTGTCGAGTGCAGTTTACATCCCTTGTAGCGCTAGTAAAAAAACTTAATGATAACAAGCTTTAAACAGTTTATACTAGCGTAGAGGAAATAGACTGAAAAATGCCCTATACTAATTTTTATATTATTAGTGTCAACAATAATAATGACCGAATTACAAAGTAACTAGCTAGTTATATAAAAATTGTTTTTAAAGTTTAATTTTTACTATTGTTGATTTCACAGGCTATAAGCCTACGAAAACATGTATATTACAGGCAGAAAAGTAATATAATAGATAATTTAAAGTATATTATAAATAGTAAAGTGATTCAATATAAAAAAATCGAAGTACTAGAAAACATTAAGTTTATTAGATTATTATGACTCTCAAGCGCATCAAATCCAACTGCATAACTATTAGAGAAAAAGGAAAAAAAACTGCAGCGGATGCGCGAAGCAAACTTATGTAATCACAAGCGCACTGCCTTTGAAAGTCACCCTCTTACTATGATCACTAAGTAATGTTGTATAAACAAATACGCTCCTCCACTCGAACTTATACCCTTAAAGACTTTCTTAAAGCATTAAATACCTTTTAGTACTGGTGTGGGTGCTAAAATGCGTGCAAACATAAATTAAGCATCTCCTTTAAAGTAAAAAATAGATCTTACTAAGTCAAAGAAAATCAAGCTTTATGTAGTGTAAGTCCAGTCTGACGTGATACGACTACAGCAAGAGTTAAACAGAAAAAACTCAAGAGAATCGACGATCAAATATGTTAAATTTCCCACCACGCCAAAAAGTTGGCGCCTATCTTAAGGGGGCACGAAATTAGTGGTTAAGTATCAAGTAACGGATATAAACATATAACATTGCAAGGTGTTTATTGTGTGTTCACAGCGGATATACGTCATTAAACGCATAATAATTTAGGTCAAAAACTTTTTAAATTGTCTGTTGACACTAACTTTATGATATATAAAGGCAAACAAAAAGGTATTACTCTTCTTTTATTTAACCATAAAATTAAACATGTACAATTCTTTAGGTACAAACAGTATCAGTAGCAAGTGTTCCTAATTGGAGTGCAAAAATTTGCAAGAATCGCCATATGAGCAGTCACCCTTTTGAAAAGCATAACATTTTCTAGGAACGGTACACTCACGAGACTTATGATCTTCAGAACCACAGTTAAAACAACCCGAGGAATTACCTAAAAGGATTGGATGCACAGTACAAGAATTATAAAGAATAAAACGCCAACGACAAAAAAAATTAATGAGCAAAAAGAAATATCATAATAATGATAATAAACCTTTATTATCACCCCCAGCAAAATTGCGACTGCCACCGCGCCCACCGCGCCCACCACGTCCACCACGTCCGCGACCACGTTTGCCCTTTAAGTCATTAAACTTTTGCTTTTTAAGTCGTTTGCACTCTTTGCAACGAAGAGGTTCAACTAGACCTATTATAATACAAAAAGATTATCTTAAAAAACGAAAAAAAATAACACTAAATAAATTTACTTACCTTTCTCGGCATAAAATTCCTGGTCACCCACGGAGAACTCGAAATTTTTGGAACAATCTTTACAAGTAATTGTTTTAGGCTCTAAAGAACCGTTTCCCTTATACTTATCCTGAATCTTGAAATTATTTTCCTTGCTTTCATCTTCACTGGACTCCGGCTCCGCCTCCTCAACGTCCATGGGTTCTTCGTCACCGCTTTCACCGGTATCTACTTCTTCAATAGCCTTTTCTTCTTCCTCACTCGGCTGAGCTTTCTCTTTTTTTTTCTTTTGAAGTTTTTTCTTTGTCGCTTTGTTATTATTAACTACTTCAGGAACAGCTTCCTCGGATTCATCAACCAACAACTTTGAATCCTCTATGGAGGTGTCCATTCCTTTAGTTTTTTTAACTTTTTTAACCTTTTTACTATTCTTAGCCGCCGCAATTTGCTTTTCGGAGTTTTTTGCATGTTGATTTAAAGCCTCCGCTTTCTTATTTTTCAGGTTGGACTTATTGCTTTTCTTACTTACCTTTAATTTTTTCGCAGGGGTAAGCTCAGCAGAGGTTGCACTCTTCTTTTTAGGCACGACAGTCATATCTCACTATGTAAAGTAAAGTAAACCAAAAATCGTATAATTTAAAATATATAAACACCCACAAGGCAAAAAGGGGGAAGCTAAGTCCTGGAAAGAGTGACGGGAAGCAATACAGGGCGCAGTGTAAAAAAATTTTATATACAAATTTCCCGTCACATGATCTCCAACTTCAGCCTGTTATGCCACGTGGATAAATTTTTAAGTCACGTGTGGTGAACCATTGTTCTTTTTTAGAATTTCAATACGTTATGGGCTAGTGAATTACAGAGCAGCGCGCTCTTTTTTTTGATTCTTTAGCCTTAAATGGTTCTCGGTTTGTTGGATGAAATATTGCTAAATAAGAGGAAGATTGTAATTTTTTTTAGAACCTATTATATTTGGTAACTCTGGTTATTATGATATATTTAATGTTTCGATTAAAAATAACCCTAGTAAAGTTTACAAACAAATTTTGTAAATTTGAGTAAGGTTGAGTTTAAGTTAAATATGTATAAAATAATGGTTATAGTAATATCAGCGAAGTTAATATTAAAATATTAATGGTAGTAAATAATAGTCAGAAAAATAATTCTATAATAGCCCTGTGATGGAAAAGTTACATACATTGTAAGGAAAATTTGCAATAGTGTACAGAGTAATTAAAGAACACTTCTGTTTTAAATGGTGCTTATATAGATATACTAGACCGGTTGACCGTTCAGTGGTGTGAATTTGCTTCCTCAAATAAAGTTAGTCTTAATATCAAGTTATTACAGCTTAGAAAGAATATTTATTGTATAGTATTACTACACTCTTACTATATTTAGGTTTAAGCCCCTCCTAACTTTTGAAATTTCTATCTTTTAAGATTCTTTTTCACTCATAGCTTAGAAAAAAAGCTTTTGGGTGAGAGAAGACCTTCCCTCACCTGCATATTCGCCTCTCGCTTAATATGAACTTTAAGTATGAAACAAGTAAATAGGATAGTAATCAATCGTAAGCTCTTAAAAGACGGTTTTTAATTAATACAGCGCCACACTTATTTTATCAACCACAATTTGAATGCCTACATTACCTGAAGCGCTAGGAAAATTTGCCAACTACCGTAAAACTCATTAAAAGCATATTCCCTTGTCCTAATAGCAGTCACTAAGAAAGCAAGAGACAATAGCACTTCTAAGGGTAGCCTTGTGTATAATACTTAAAATTCTTCCACCTCAACGAAGTTAACTTTTGAACTTTAAACTCAACCAGTCACGTTTGTATAAAGTTTAGAAATAATCAATTTACTTTTAAATCGTAGAACATTTTTATAGGTAACACAAAACCTTACTTCCTCATATTAGTTCACTGGAAAAATTTTTAAAAGTTTATTAATAATAAATGTATATATATTATATATAACTATTGTAATTTAATAAAATTTAAAATGTTTAGTTATTTTACTTTTGATTACCTTATGTTTTTGTTGAACTTAACTAATAAGCGCTCAGGGCTTTGCGTATTTAGCACTGATTCTGAATTATCAAAAAAGTATAGCAAATACGCCCTATTGAATTATGGACAGTGATTGACTAATAGCTCGTTTAGCTCGCAACATAGCCAAACATGATTACCCTGAACCCCTAATGACTAGCTTTAGTGTGTAATAGGGTAGACTGGATACATAATAAATTTCTCAATTTTACTTTTTTTTAGTGAAATCTCACTGTATTGGTAATGAATTAAACAGTAATTATGCCTTTCTTAAGATTATATATAAAAAATGCACATTAAGTTTTTAGGAGCCAAGTTTGTACTTTCGCCAGAGGTAGATTAGAAAAACTTAAACCGATGACGACATAAGGTTTTTTACTAAGTCTTGATTGTTAACGAAGGAAATTTTTTTAAAGTTGTGCAATGCCACACGATTTAAACACAAACATACTTTTATTTTTTATACATAATATTTTATAGTAAGTGTAAAATGTGTATTTTGTTTATAGTTGTTAGTTATAAGTAAATTAATTGTAAATAATAATATTTATAATTATTTTTGCTTCACCATGAACCGATTTCTTTGGGCAACTTCGAATAATATCCCCTAGCCAAACCAAATTAAGCGCTAAATATATTGTTACTTACAATCTTTGTCCATAATTATGAAAGTGTAATATGTTAAAGCAACAGTTAGTATCATAAAGAATAAGCGGAAATTAATTGAAACTACCTACTAAAGGAAACTCTCATTCAAATTAAAACACCCGACTTTCTCGAGCTAGTCTGCTTAATCTATATTAACTAATTTTATCGTGCTTTTAGGTTAATATTTTTCGTGTTCATCGCGTCTTCAAATGTAAAAAGATGCTTGTAGCACACTACAGAAGCTAGGGTTACGCACGTCTTTCTAGGAATCGATTGTAAGTGCTCGTACCAAGTGGTGTTTTGAATGTGCCAGGACACGTTCATAAGCAGAGCCGTCTGTGCTCCGAATATGCCTACGTAAATTGTTGTAAAGGACGTCGCTGAAAAAATAATTCCATGCGCCAGTCTTTAGTTGCGATTTCTTGTTTTTGTTGTCCTTACGATACTACCATGGTTGACAATGCATCGAATGCCCACCAGGAGAAGAGTAGGCTACAATGGCCATACACATATAATGAATATTTTTTTTAAAAATATTGGAAGACGCCTTGACCTTTACCACGAAGTTGCGCGCTGTTTTATCCACAATTATTGTAGATAATGTTCTCCAAGTATTTCGACTGAAGGTGCCATATTTCTCGTGCTCTCAAAATAAGGGAGAGAGGCAGCGTATCGCGGAACAGGACATCTAAGAAAGGATCTTACAAAGTGCGTAAGGTATGCCGATGTATGCAACTTGTACAAAGATTTTCGGTTCAGACAAGATCAAAAGTTTTCTCGGCCCAAAAAAAAAGCTTGTTAAAGATGAAATTATATGTATAGTTAACCCAACGCAGGAACTGATCAGCTCTGAAAATTCGGGGCAAAGGTGTTTAAAAGTATTAAAACTAGATTTGCATTTTCTAAGTATATCTACGTAGCAAGAGCCGAGAAGGATAAGTTTTACAACGTGCTCATATTACGTAAATTAGTCACTCTTGTCATCGTACAAGTTAGTTTGTTTGGTATTTGAAAAAAAGTCTAAATCTGTCTTAAACTCTTTAATATCACTAATAACAATTAACACAGTGATTCTTTGTACTAACGAATTTCTTGTTAACTTTGTCTAAAAGTCTCTCTAGACGTTTAGGCATTATACTGTATTAGCCCTCTAGACAAAAACTATCTTCAAACAAAATTGCGGACCACTAGACCAACGTTAAACTACGATAATAAAGGCGCAAGGTTCTGGCAAACGTTAAGAGAGAAAGAAAAAAAAGGCGGAGCGGAAATGAAGAAGTCAAATTTTTTTTTAGGTACTGGTAAACTTAGGCGGTCTCCTTAAGACCTTATACCGCTTAGTTTAAAATCCGTTCTTCTATAGGAATTGGGGCATGTGTGCTAACCAGAGTAAGCTCCTTTGTAGAGCTGTAATGATTGCCTAAGGGTTGGAGGAGCGAAAGTTAGCCGGCCCGGACTCTCATTTGGTGTGACGGAAAAACCGCTAAAACCACCACCGGGAGAGACAGCCTAAGGCCCAAGACCCGAGGCCACCTGGAGACACAAGCTAGCACCGCCCAGCCAGGCCTGCCCGACTATGAGCTCTTCACCTAGAAGGGAGGAGCCCCAGACAACAGGTTTTATAATAAAATAAATTTATATACTTTATATACTTGGTGCTATTAACTTTACAACTACCATTGACATTAATTAGCTAATACTCGCCTTGTTGAGTCGCAAATCCGTAAGAAACTTAAATTTTAAACATCCCACATTTTGACTCTTACTTATTAATCCTCAGTTCGCAGTTCAAAGAACATCTGCCCCTGCTAACTAATTATAAATAATTCTTCCAGCACTCGCTTAACTAAAGTTTAGCGTGATTTTGTTATTCTTTTATATTATTTTTCTTAAAAGAAATGTATGTCCTCTCTGTTCTCACAATTTTTAAAAGTACCCATACCCATTACATTTGTTAATCTCAACGAAATCCTAAGAAGCGAGGAGTAGGAAAATCTAAAAATAGAGTACTGGCACAATTGTATTATACAAAGGCTTTTAAAAGTGTATTTATATTTAAAAAAAGTTTGGTGGTTATATTTATTTGATAAGCCAAGGGGTTTGAGGCCACCCAAAAATTCTATACATCAATACTAATTTTATTAAATTTTGATTATCTTTTAAATTCTTCTAACATATGCTGAGAAAATTAGCCTTAATAACCCAATAATAGATATAAGGTGCACTCCCTCAAGTTAGGGGCTAAAACTCTAGAAAGTTATCGACCTTTTCAGTTCTTTTACGCATTACCAATTTTTTATGTCATGCACGTGGTTAATGTTTGGCTCAGAAATTTACTAATTTGGTATTATTACACTTGGCTAAACAGAATGTTGAGCGAATTTTTAACGTTGCGTGAGAATTTTTTTAAATCCATTTCGCTGTGCTTATATTTCTTATTCGGCGTGTGGTTGTCCTTTAGTTGTGTGACAAAACATATAAGCGACCTAAAAACTCTTGTTAAGACTACTTTTATATGAGGAGGTCTGAACAGAGATATGACAACTATGACAACTTTTTTTTTAATTTTTGTTCTGCTTAGTAATTTACCTTTAATTTATTTATTTTTTTAACTTTTTTAATATTTTTTATACATAATTATTTGTTTTTATAATTTATTGTTATCCTCGTTTTACCATCTAATGACGAGAAATTGGGCGAAACTTAAACGCTTTAATTCTTATTTTCTATTTTAGTAATATGTAGAACCTTTACCTCTGAAGGTGGTGAGGATAACTTTTTTTTAATATTTTTAAGTTTTAAGGGATTTATAGTTTTTTTTAAATATTGATTAGTGGCTTTATAATTTTATATCATAAAATTTGTGATATTATATTGTCAATTACTTATTTTAATTTAAACAAGCTGCTTCTTTGAAGACTAACTTTTTGAACTAAATTTTGATAGTATTATCTAATAAGGGAGTCATCCTCTCTCAGTTTTACAATTAGATATATTAGTTTGAATACTAAACATATTTAAAGCTATGAATTTCGCTTTATACTATTTTGTGGTGCCTTTTTTAAGCAAATAGAAACCGTTATACTTCCATACTTGATTTCATAATCTATTTGTTTTGCAGAACATTTAAACGCTGTAGACTAGTTTATTTTCAATAAACAAATTTTATTATTATTATTTATATTATAACTTTGTTTGACTTTTAAAAAAGGGGAAAGGTGTATTTAATTATTATTGGTATTGTTAAATATTTCTTGGTTTAGAGTTGAATTATTTTTAAGTATTAATTTGTTAAACTTGAACTGTAAAGCAGGAAAGAAGTTTCTTAAAAAAATGATTTTTACGTTAGGACAACCGGCGTAATGTTAGTTTTTATTTATATTACATAGATGCATTTTAAAATTAAACCGAATATACTTTTTAAAAGTGAATGGGCATACATAAGGGGGAAGGTAAGGTAAGTTAACTAAACTCCATTACCGCTTAAATCTTTATAGGTTACTGGTTACTATTTTTACCACTTGTCGCCTAGGTCCAGTATTTACCTTAAACCACAGGCTCGGTCTCTGAAACAGTCTTTGGTAAGTTTGAGTACCATGTTCTAACGGATTAGGCAGCAACCAACTAAACATTAAAAAGTAGTAAATTTGAGTTGCCAGTGAACGTAAAACAAATCTACCTTAGCCCGAGTTTTGCCTGTTAAAGGGTTAATACTAGGTTTAGCTTAACGAGGTCAAGGGCATCTTTAATTTTATTGTCATTTGACTTTGGGTATCTAATACCTGTCTCTGGATGTAATTATGACAATAGCATTTAATATTCTTTGTTAGAAATAAAATATTGACCTATAAAAAATTATATTAATATTTTTGAGTTAATTCTAAGTTTTTTATGTTTACGATTTCTAGTAGGTAAAGGTAAGCATATCCAATATTCTTTTTGAATGTTATTTAGACGTATGATATATTTTTGTTTTTCTGTTTACCCAGCTCCCTAGTAGGTAATGGTAAGTATTTACATATAAAGTCTCAAAAAGTTAACTTTTTATATACGTATAAGTAGATAGTAAAATGTAAGTGTGCTTTATGTAATTCGATAACAATAAAACTTAACTTCCCTTGTATCTGGAGAATCTACTTCCTTGATCCTTAAAGCATAAAAAAGGACGTATCCTGTCGACTGTAGCATTACTGTAAGCAGTCTCATCATTATACTGCGGCGCCAAGGTAATGTAGAGAGATAATTAAGTTTATTAAAATGTTTCACACCCACCCCTAAACTTGGACCGGGCAATTATACGTTTTTATAAACCTGAAACTAATAAAAATGTAGCAACACAAATATTAATAACCTTATTGCTTGCTTGCGATGAAAACCAAAAAAAATCTATTAATGTACTTAATGACAACTTTTTACCAACTGAATTCCTTTGTAAACGTTTTAAATATATCATGAAGCTTGCCTGGTTCATTTTAGCTTGAGCTAGGAGAACCATTTGCAATAGGGAAATTTTCTATAAACACTTTTTTAAACTTTTGTTTTAGAAAAATTCGGCCTCATTTATATAAGGACTTACTTTGATTATATTAAGAAAATTTTTTTTAGCCCTTAAGGGCTTTAATGGAAGTTCCAAAACGTTAAGCGACGATGTAAGTGTGAACAAGAGTACATAATATAATAAATTTACAGTCATTTATTAACTACTGAGAAATGTCAAATGGCGTAACAATAAAGGTACTTCATAGTATAAAAGAGCACAACACAAAATTTCATTCACTATAATTTAAAAAACTAGAGTTGTGCCACAATATCTTTTACCGTTCCAATTAAAGCTATCCCCATTTCCATTGCCCAAGAAAATCATATTTTAGATATTTTTAAAGCGTCATTTAGCCGATAATAAGATTAAATAGTAATTAGCTTTAATTTGTTACACAAAATTTTTTTTGTTCATCAATTGTGAGAAATATACTTTTTTGGATTAGTGATTGGTTATTACGAACCCGTTTTCCCTATTTAACATTATAATTGGCTGTACTTGAATAAGAGTAATTTTAGTGTTTCCCTAAAATAGTATCTTTTTTTCTCTTAAATAAACCAATTTCACTGTTAGTCAACCATATTAGGCAGGAGAATTAATAAGTAGCCTTTTGCTTCCAGACACTTTGGGTCCAGTTTTTTGCTCTTCCTTGACTGTTTGCATTTTCAAGGTTTGCGACTTTACAAGACGTTTGTGATTTTTTATTATTCCTTTTAAAAACAGTTTGCTTTTAGCAAGTTTTAAAATGTCTGATCAAAGGATTCAGGACACCCAAAGACAAGTCGATGAAGTTGTCGATATAATGAGACAGAATGTTAGCCAGGTAAATTTAGAAAATTTTTTGAAAATTTATTCTTTAATTTTAGATTCTTTTTTAACAGGTAATTGAAAGAGATGAAAAACTTACAAATATAGATGACAAAAGTGAAGCTTTAGTTTCTGGCGCTAATAGATTCCAGAAAACTTCGACCCAAGTGAAGCGTAGACTTTGGTGGAAAAATGTTTGGTGGACCATGGCTATTGTAGGTGTAATACTATTAATAGTATTAATTATTCTTTTGATTGCTCAACCCTGGAAGAAAAAATAGAACAGATTTTATGTCTTTTATCTTTTTTGTCCCTGATAATTTAAGTTCGTATGATTAAATAAACTTTTCTGAGTGAGGATGACTGTTCTACTCTTTATTCGCACTCGTGACCTTTACTAATTATGAGTAATGCTCTTTTCATTTGTTTTAAAAGAAGTACATCCAAGTTAACGTTAATAATAGTAGTATCAACCGAAATAGTTTTCAATTTAATAAAATATAATTAATAAATTGTTTTGCTTAGTCTTTTTATTACTTCCGGACTCTGCGTACTGTCAGTTAACTTATTTAACAGTTGTATGCAAAGCTATTTACCAAGTTTACTTTGATAAGCTTGACACTTTAAGATTCGTAAAGCGGAAAAAATTGTGTTAGTGGCAAAGCAGCCTTTTAACCGATTTACAGAATGAAATTTAAAGTTCACTACGATTTTATCTTTTACCGCTTAAAATAAGTTATAACAAATTTTTCTCCAAACTTTTTTTTAAGTCAGCGTGGTCACTCTAGGTTTTTGTAGGGATCAAGTTCGAAAATTTAATAAAAATTGACAATTTTTAATAGCGGCAAAATTTTATGTGTATTATGTTATACGAAATCAATTACTTGAGAAAAATTTTACACGCTCCTCTCTCGCTTGTTTAAGTTCAGAAGTTCGCTTTATTTTTGTTTACTCCCAAATAATAGTTTTCTGTTATTGAAAGCAGTTCGTTGAAATAAAGCGGATATTTAAATTTCGTGAATTTAAATGCATCATAAATTGGCTGTTTTAATATAATGATATTTTATACTATAACATAGTCAAATATATATCTTATTTTTTTTATAAGTAAAATATATCTTGTGAAGTTTAGTACAAAACTATACTCACCTAAATGCATTTTTCAAACAAGTATTTTACTCCAAGTCAAAGGTTCTGTAAATTAATGTACCGTCTAAATTTCTAAGTAACTCCTTGTATAGTACGCGTTACTTTTATTATATTATGCGGTCTTTACGCGTTCTTTATAGTAAGCCGGATAGAGAACAAATTGCTTAATTTCAAAGTCAAGTTTCGATAAACCTTTAAACGATTTTTCTCATAAATAAATATATTTTTTTAATTTTTGCTTTATGGGATGAATTTTAAATACAATTAAATGTCTCAAATGGTATTATATTAATAATTTCCAACTCTCACGGTTATAGATATGAACCTAACCCTTAACTTTAAGTGTTAACAAAAAATGACTGAAAATATTACTTATTACACTAATGAAACTATAATTGTAAAAAATGGCAGGGATTAAATGGAACCAAAAAAATTATAGCACCCTTAAAACGAATCTATGTTTAAATAAAGTTGATTGAACCAAAAAAACTCGTTAAGTAAAAGGTTTTAATTTTTTAAGCCATTTTTATTAGGAATATTAACATTCCTAATTCTCCAAGAAACAAGACTTTATGATAATAAGATTTACAGTAAAAGATCAAATAACTTATTACCGAGAGGGCAAAAAAAGGATTTAAAGGCCGTTGTAATTACTAAAGAATTTCATAATGTTCTCAACTGGCAATTAAAAACATAATAAAAATATTGTAAAGAAAAGATGTAAAATCCGTCTTAAGTAAAATAAGAAAAGAAAAAGGAAATTAAGAAGCCAATGTTAATCGAGCCCACTATTTTGGATAGTAGGTTAAGGGTCAGGACTGGAATAAAAGAAGGAAGTTTGTGCATTTATCAAAAGTAAGATCCCCCCACCCCCCAATAGGGTGGGCTTATTTTATTTAATGATTTCATTTTTTGCAATATAAAATATTCAGTCATATTTTATTATCTCACAACCCCACAAATCTAGTAAAACAAATTTTTCTTGGGGGGCAGGACGCGATCCCGAGTAGCAGATACGTAATTGCCACTAACTTAAGAAATTATTTACCTAACAATGTAATATTAGAATTAAAATAGAAATTTTCTTTTATAAAATGGTCCAAACAATTTAACCAATTAATTAAAAAAAACTCGAAGTTTATTAGACTCTTTCACTGCCATCTTCATAGATATGTAATTATTAACTACAAACTGCTTCAAGGCGTTTAGTAAAAGGACGTAAAAGAATTTTTTAAACTCTTAAGAAACAAATATATTTTAAAACAATTAAAAAGCATTGGTGAATTACTAAAGCGAACTCTTTATACACAGTATTCGTTATAAAAAAAGAAAATAATCAACTATTTAGCAAAAAAAATTATTAAAAACTATGAATAAAAATTCTAAAAGATAACAGATGTTACGAGGACGTATTTTTTTCAGTTTACAAGCAGTTCTCTTTCCAAACAACGAACAGTAAAAAAAGAAAATTACCATGATTTTCGCTCCAAAAATCAGTAACTTGAGCTACATATCCCTTAAAAGGCTAAAATAATACTTGATTAAAAAAAGTTATATAATCAGGGAACGCCTGAGAGCCTTAATCCGAAGCAAGGTAACCATAATCAAGATCCTTGTTTTGTAATGTTTTCTTTTAAAGTGAAATTAAGATATTCTTCAAGATTACTTAAGTGTTTCAGCTCAAGCCCAAGGACCAACGCATAGTAGATGGTTACTAACCATCACCACGGGGATCAACTACTACTTTTACCGTAGACTCGGTCTAATCCATGTAAGAAATTTATTATCAAATATAAGGCAAGTCTTTTCAAAAGTAATATATAAATTATGTATAAATTAACATCGTTACCAGAGAAAAGTTTTGTAACGGTATTATTATTATACATACAATTTTTTAAATAATAAACTGCTTCAGAATTTCCAAAAGAAAACCAACCTTTTATAAATTAAAAAAAAAAAGGAGCTAATTAACTTTTCTAACACAGTATACTATATTTTCTTTTAAACAAAGGAAGTTTAAAATACACCAAGTAGAAGATTGCGGAGATCTGCTTTATATTATTATCTTTATTTCTAGCAGTTCCCCTGTAATTCCTATAAAAAAAATATTATTCGTCCAATACATCCCCCATATCCAGCCAATCACCGTCGTCACTTTCCGTAACGCTACTATTAAACAGAATGCCTTCAGTTGATTCGCTGCTGTTATGCTCGTCTTCTTCATCAGCGCAAATTTTTTTTGACGGATTCACTAAATATTGAATATTTCAAGCTTTCTTATAAATATTACTATTATCGTTGTAGTTTTTGATAATAAAATTTTTTTTACTCTTAAAAGATAGGGAAGCATAATTATAGTTTTATTATCTTCAAAAAATGTATAGAGAAGCACAATCAAAGTTTTATAAAAATTAGTTTTTTACTAAAAATTTATAAATATATCAATAAAGAAAACTTTTTATCATATAATTAAATAAAAACTATCAATAACTAAAAACTTTTTATCATATAAAAAGAAGTACCAAATTCAATTTGTTCACAACTTTTTTGTTTCATTTCATTACTTGAGCAAATTTCTCTTTAAAAATTGTTTTTATTTATTAATAAGAAATATTTCTTTTATGTATATTTTTATTTTCCTTAAGAAATTTGTTAGCTTTACAAGTATTTTAAAAAGTTTAAACTTTTAAACTTCTTTATCATAACATTGTGCTTTCAAAACTTTTTTAAAAAAATTACTACTACGCTGCTTTCAATAAACTTTTGTCTTTTAGAATATTCTATAAAGTTTATATCAAACACTATAAATAATATAATATAAGTAACTTTAAAAGTATTATTAATATATAAAAGTTTCTTATAAGCAAGTTGGCTAACCGCGCGCTTGTGTTACCCACAGGAACATAAAACAGTTGATATTTCTGTATTTAAAAAATAAAAAGTAAATAAAAATGTCGATAAAAAATTTCTGTTACTTTTAAAAACTTTTTTTATAACAAAATATTAATAAAAATACAATAACTAATAAAAGTAATACTTTATTATTTTTAAAAAAAAATAATATTTGATAAAAAGTTAAATAAGGGTATCAATAATAAAATAAATAAATCTTTAGCTCTTATTACTATCAACATTTACATCTCAAAAGTAATAGTAAATATATTTATAACAAGTTTGCATAAAGTTTAAATTTAACTAATAAAAATTATCTAATAAAAATTAATAAAAGTTTATAAATTTTTTATTAATGGAAATTATAGAAGAATAAATACATTATATATTAAGTAGATATTACAAAATACAAGTTATAAAAAGTTTTATATTTATAAATAAATTAAGTTTTAAGGATTTTGTTACAAAATAAAAAGTATTATATGTATTAATAATAAATAAATAAATATTTTATATTATTAATATAATTTTTTTTATAATAAAATACAATTTTAAGACTTTTAAAAAAATTTCAAAATATTAATATATATAACAAAAGAAGCTGTTAAATACTATGATAAAAAAATAAAATACATTAAAGAATAATAAAGTATTGAATAATATAAAAATATAATAACAAGGATAATATAATTCATTATATTAAATTATAATAATAATTAAGTAACAATAAATTAAATTTAAAATATTGTTAGCAGTAAAAATTAATTATAAAAATGTAGATTACCAAATAATAATTATAAATTTTAATCAAAATTACGAAGTAATAATAATAAAAGTGTTATTGAAAAAATTATAGTTGATAGTAAAAATGTTATTCTTCTTATAAACAATATAATTCATAAAATTTAGAATAATAATAATAATCTATTTGTATAATATAATTGTAATAACAAAAAAGAAAGAAGAATATAAAAAAAAAGTATTGAATGTTTTCTAATAAACGATATGTATAATAATATTAGCATATACTAAAATTTATAAAATAGCAATAAATATAAAATATAAAAATAATAAAAGTTATATACGAAATAACAAAATAAAAATAACGAATTCACACAGCTTCAGGTAAAAGTTTCCAATGAGCAATACAGTCACGCAACCAATTGACATGCACAATTTTTATTCCCTCCAATCTGCGAGCATCTTGAATTTTGGTGGTTATAGTCCTCTAATAAATATTATAATAATGTAAACTTCTCAAATATCAGTAGTTATTATCTCCTAATGAGTAAATTAATATAAATAAATAAAACATTTTATAATTATATTTCATATATAAACAGAACTTTTCTATTTTTCAAAACTTCTTTAAAAGTAGTTATTACGATTCTTTGAAAAATAAGAAAAAGAAAATATATTAAACCTCAATTTTTAAAAGCTTTTTGAACTTTTATAATAATAAAAAACTTATAATATTTTTAGATTTTTATTTAATAATTGCTTATGCTTTTTAGCTGTTATAAGCATTATAGACTTAAATAATAAATATTAAAAATTCTAATTCAATTTTAAACTTCTTAAACTTTTGCGCATAAACAGTTTTTTATATTAACTCTTATAATATTTTACTTCTTGTGTTAAAAAATTAATAAAATCTATTTTTTATATTTTTATAATATTTGAAAATATAAATAATTTCCAATTCTTTTATATTATTATTAAGCGCTTATTTTAAGTAGTTGTTTATCTTTTAATATATACTTTTCATATTTGTATATTGTCAAAACTTTTTATATATTGACATTAAAATTAGTTAAAACAAAAATAAAGATTTATCAATTTTTAAATTCCAGTTATTTAATAATTCTCTTCAACATTATCAAAATATAATAACCTTTTTTAAATATAAATAAAATTTTTTACATCCTAAAATTGCTTATTTTATTTATATGTATTGCAGATTAAACATAAATTTACTACAAGAAAATAAAAGTAAAAGATATATATATAAAATAAAATAAAATAATAAAAGTAATAAATACTTCAATTTTTTTAATAAATTAATATAAAGTATTGGAAAAAAAAAACCTTAACGCAAACAAAGAAAAAAGTATATAGTAATATATTATAATCCTTAAAAGAGTATATATAAAAAAACTTTTAAAAGAAAAACTTTCATTAATAGAAAAAGTTTATTTTCATTTACAAATTATTATAATACGCCTTAAAATAATAAAAACATGATAAATACTTATAAAAAAAAATGAAACACATTATTATAAAAAATACGTTAACGATGGTGCAAAGTTTTCTTAAAATAATTGAAAGTAAATATAATAAATACATCAATTTATACAAGATTTATAGTTCATCTTTTTTATTAATAGTATAATTATAATAAATCGCTTTTCATAATAATAAATAGAAGTAAAAATTACGATACACTTACTATAAAAAAAATTATTTTTAGTCATAAATAAGTTGCAAATAAAATTATAATAAAAATATATGTTAAGTAAAAAAAATATATATATAAACGAATAACTTTAATAATATTAAAAAGAGATAAAGATATTGTTATATAAAAATAATATTATTGCAATTATTTTTTAAATAAAAAAATATAAGCATAACTTTTATAATTAAAAAGAGAAGTATATACATTATAATAACAAATATTAATATTTATATAATAAAACTGCTAATAATGTATAAAAAGCGTATAAAAAAAGAAAATTTTTTATCTTATTTTAATAATTGAAAGAATAAAAAACGAGCCTTAAAAAATTTTTAAACATAATTCTTTAACTAAAATTATCAGAAAAAAATAAATTTACTAGTATTTATAATTAAAAAAAGAGAAAAAAGAATGTTATTAACTACAAAATATTATAATTAGCATAACTTTATTTATTTTAATAATTAAAAAGAAAAGGAAAGTATTATTATAAACAAAAAATATTAAAATTATTACAAAAAATTAAAAAAAATATCACGAAATATATTAAAATTATTAACAAAATTTTTTTAAAAAAAAAATATAAGCATAACTTTGATAATTTTCACAAGTAAAAAGAAACGAAATATATTATTATATACAAAAAATATTATAACTATTACAATAAAATTTTAAAAGAAGAATCAATATAAGAAAAACTTTATTAATTTATTAATTAAAAAGAAAAAAATAAATTATAATTTTTATTCCATAACTAATAAAGAAACATATGATAAGTTTTAAACTAAAATTTATAAAAAAAAATAAAGCATAACTTAAATAATATTTATAAAGGAAAATATATATTATAAAATATTGTCTAATTGTTATTATTAATAATATTGCTTATATTTGTTAAACTAAAAAATAAAATGTGTGGTTCTGTTATGTTGTGATAACTTTCAGTATATTTTATAATTTAAAAAAAGGTAAACTATTTCCTCATTTTATATAACAATACCAAAAAAAAACAATAAATATAAATATAAAAGTAAAAGTTTTTAATTAATTATAAATTTATACAAAAATTTATTATATTGCGATTGTTATGAAAATTGTATATTTTATATAATAATTTTTGAAAAACACAATAAAAGTTAAATAAAAGTTTATAAGATAATAAATTTATTAAATAAATATAAGAACATAAAAACAATAATAATATGTGATTTATAATTATTCTTATTGGTGGAGTCAACCGAAATACAAAAAATTAGAAACAAATAAAAGTAAAAAAAAGTTTATAAAATAAAAAATAAAAAAAAATTGTTGGTAAATAAAATTCATAAATTATGCTTATTGGTGGATTCACAAAGCTGGTCATTATTTTTAAAGCAGTGTCTAAGTCTTAAAACAAAGCGGAGCTACATCTTTTGAACAATTCAGACTAATTGAATTAATAGTAAAAAGGGCAAAAAATTTTTCTATTCGTTAATTTCCTTACTAAAGAAATATTTTAAATAACTTTATAAATATTTTTAAGTACTAAAAAATTATATTCATAAGTAAAATAATATAAAATATAAAGGAATAAAGGATTAATAGAAGTCAAAAGTTTCATGTTATTAGTAAGCTTATAGAAAATAATTTTTTATAGTATATAATGATTACTTGAAGAATTATTAATAAATATTTATAATAATTTATAAGTAAAGTATAGAAAATGCTACAATTTGTAATAAAAAAATTATCTTCCCCCCCCCCCCCCCCCCCCCCCCCAAAAAATTTCTTATTGGAAATTATAATTAAACAATAAATTTAACAAAAAAAAGTTCATAATACAATTCATAAGAGTACAAACATTTTGCAAAGAATATATATATATAATAATAACATAAAGAAACTTAATAAAAAAAAAGTTTATCGCAAATATGATAAAACATACCATCCCAAGAACGTGAGTCACAGTTTCATCCAATACGTCAGTAATTTTGGCCCCAAACTTTATTGCCTAAAAGTGCCAATTGTGTTAAAAATAATTATAATAGTAATAATAGTAAGAAGAAGAAGAAGAATTTTTACGTTCTGCATAAGTTCGTTAGTAGTAATATTTCTTGAATCTTTAGGAAAAACACCAGAAAACAAAATGGTTATTCCTGCTAAAATATCGCCTTTCAGCTGTGGTATTATTTTTCCACAGTCAGCCTCTTCAGTATGAGAAAAAGTTTCATAATAAAGAAAGTGAACATTCTCAAGGACAGTCTGGTTATATAAGTTATTATGAATATATTTTAAGAATAATAATAAATTTTTTTTAAAAATAATATAAAAATTGAAACGAAAATGTAATAACATAATTTCCTTTTGAGCAAATAAAAAGACCAAAAAGTATAATAAAAATTATTTTTTAAGTATATAATAATAAGAAAAAGAGAGTGTAATATAAAATATTATTCAGCAAATAATAAAAATAAATCAAAGAAATTGAAACGAAATTGTATAATATAATTTTCTTTCTAGCAAACAAAAAGAAAACCCAAAAAAATAAAAACAGTATAATAAAAATATATCAACTTTTTTTTTAATTCTTGCATAAAATAAAAAAAAGTTTTTAATAAATATATAATAATAAACAATTCATAAATAACAGAGAAAGTATATCAAAAAAAATAAATCGTTAACTTTAAAGTAATAATAAGGAAAACAACTTATAAAAAGTATGATAAAGATACTTTAACTTTATCATTTCTCTTAAAAAAATAAGAAAGTTTGGTAAGTAATAAATTTAAGAGAAAAGGAAAATAAAAATATATTTAACTTTTTTCCGACTTTTATAAAAATAATTTATTTTGTTAATAAATAATTATAATTCCTAAATATAAAAAAAAATTATAAAAATGTATATATACTTTTTTGATTCCCATAGAAAAAAATAGTTTTAAAGGAATAATACCAAAAATAATATATTAACAAGCTTTAACTTAAAAGAAACCTTTCTTGTTAAAAAATTTTTGGTAGTAGCTATAAAAATTATAACTTTTTTCAATAATATGTAAAAAAGTTACATATAAGCTGAACAAGACATCATCAGGATCATGAAGTGGAGCAGACGGAAATAATAAATTCCACAAGATAGGAAAATCATCTTTCTCAGAACTTCCAAAAGTCCTTAAAAATTATATATGAAACAATTAAAGACTATAAAAAAATAGTATTACAAGTTTTTTAAAAAATTAAAATAAAAAATTATCTAAAAATATAAATATGATAATGTAAATAAATAACAGGTCAGTAATCAATAGAATGAAGAGGGTAACAATGACAAAACTAAATATAATAATATAATAAAAATAACAGAATTCAAAAGTAAAAATATCATTGTTCAATAGGATATAAAAAGTAAAAATAATAATTTAAATGTAAAAGATATTGATATAGTATAGAAAAATAATAGTATTTACAAAGTTAAAAATATAAAGAAAAGAAAAAAAGTAACAAGAATGATATGATAAAATAATAATATTAAAAAAGTTAAATAATTATTAAATACGATAATAATATAAAGAATTAATAAGTAAAGTAAAGAAAGTAACAGTAATAATGTAAATATAAAAAAAAATTCAGTATAGAAAATGTTGGAAAACAATAATTATATCAAAAGTTTAATGTAAATAATATTAAGAAGTAAAGTTTAAATATAATAATAATCAGTAGTTAAAATATTGCATTAGTACTGTTGATAAGTTAATATAATAATTGTTTAAAAATAATAATAGCACTACGTAAACAAGAAAATAATAATAAAAATAGTAAAAGTATCTATATATTTATATATAACTAATAAAAAAAAGTATAATAATAGTATTATTTAGTCAAAAATTAAAAATATTTATATAGTAATATCGAGAAGTAAATAAATAAATAATATTAAAAAAATAATATATAATAAAAGCATACATAACAAAAAAATACTATAATATCGTTATAGTTGTAGAATAAAATAATAGATACAATAAAAATTTAAAAATAGTAACGTTTATAATTATAATAAACTTAATAAACTTAATAGATAAATATAATAAAAATAGAAAATACCATTTTAGTTATAAAAGATAATAAAATATAAAACAAAAGTAAAGATGATATATATAAACCTAATAATTAAATATATTAATAGTATTGGTAATAAAAATATTATTGTAATTAATAAATAAATAGTATTAAAATAAAATATGAAAGAGTTACTTGTACTCGTCCGGCCCGAAAGAAAGTCGGCACGCCCTCAACTGGACAACCGCATGATCAAAATTGTAGAAGAGGATTTTAGAAAGATCAGATAATATACGCTTCATTCCCTTTTTTCTCCTTCAAAATGTTATAAAAAAATTATGATTATAATAATAATAACAATTAGAAAAATAAACCAAGCCAGTCTATATTCATCGGTGAGGGAGGCCGCCATAAATGTGCAACTGGCTATTGCCTATTGAGAATAAAAATTCATGAAGTGTAGTTGCACTCCGCGGGACTTTAAAGGAAAAAAAATAAGCAAACTTTTCTATTAAACGCTAAAGAAGCGCACAATTCAGCTAATAAATGTGTAGAATACTTTAACAAACCTTAAAAAGGTTAAATGGTAAACATTTTAGTATAAAAAAAATAAATTTTCTTATTATTATATAAAATATTGAAGAGTAAGAGTAAAAATTAGGCTAACAACAATATTTATTTTAAAAAAATAAGTTAATAACAAAAAAAGCTTCTTTAATATAACCAAAAAAATTAATAATAGAAGTTTTCTTATTATTAAAAATTATAAGAATATACTAATAATTATAGAAAATCTTTCCTAACACAATAAAAAAATATATAATAAGAGTTTTATAATAATTAAAAAATATAAAAATAATGAAAATCGCTAATGCCGATAGTAATTATAACATAATATCTTTCTTAATATAATAATACATATATAATAATAATAAACTTTTAAAAAAAATGTATAAAAATAATAAATGCGCTAGAAAAAAATAACTTTTTTTTTTTAGATGTTATAAAGTATAAACAATAAAAGTTTTACCATTATTAAAAATTTTAAAGTAATAAATACGCTAAACCTTAACTTTTTTATTATAAAAATAATATATAATAAAAAAAGTTTTCTTATTAAAAAGTAATAAAATATACTTTTGTTAACTCTTTTTTTAATACAGACTTGGGCGTGTTTGCGATAAACAATTGAGGAAATTGAGGATACACTTCACGTTGCTTTTGACTAAAAGTGTACAGTGCAGCATCTTCAGTGCTTTTGCTTATTTCTTCAGGCGCTGTAAAAAGTATTTTTATATTAAAAATTATATTTACTTTATTATTATAACTTATAGTTATTAATATATCTGAACTGCAACGATAAGTTTTGTAAAAATAGCAGTAATATTAAGTTTATTTATAATATTAATAAAAACAATTTTGTGTAGCAATTTTAATATTATAATAATAATAATATTAAAAACTGCATATTTTATAAATATTAACATTGAATTTTTTTTTTTGATATAATATTAATAAGGTTAAAGTTTATTTGTTATATATTTATATATATAGTTTTATATAGATTTAAGTATTATTATTACACTTAAAACTGTTCAAATATAACTTCTTTATAAATAATAATAGTTTAAAGTTATTTATTATATATATAATAATAGTTTAGTATAACATATAAATAATATTATAAAACCAAAACAAAAAAATGTTAATTTTACTTTATTTTATACCAAAAAAATATATAAATTTCCAATGAATAATAATACTTTAACAAAAGGATTTAAATATTATCATTATATACTTGTAAGAAAAAGAGTATTATTATTATTATTGTTAATAGTATTTACGATCATCAAGTTCTGATAAACTTGGGACTTTATAGTTTTTATTATCTTCAAATAGAATTTCTTCTTCTTCTTGGTGCTTTCTAATAATAAATTATTAATATATTTATTAGAGAGATATAATGATATATAGAAGACGATAATAATAAACTTTTACCGGAAATAATAATTTTTATTAATAAATTTATAAAATAATTTGCTTAATGAATATATTAAACTTGCTTCATTCTTATAATTATAATGTATTACAAATAACTATACAGTAAAAAGTTTTTGAAAATAATATTATAGAAATATTCATAAAAACGATAAAACTATTTTTAATAAGGCCTATAAAATTTTATATTAAAATAAAAATTCATTATATAATTATGAAAAAAAAACTTATTAATATATTTCTCATTTTATTTTAATATTATATAATAAATTATTAATAATGTATTAATAAGATGTAATAAATCATAATAAAATATAACTATTAGTTTTAAAAGTATAATAATAATTGTATATAAAAAATTTTCCATAATTATAAGAAAATGTGTAATAAATAGTAATATGTTTAATATAAAACACTCTAAATAACTATATAAATTATGAGAAATTATATTTAATATAAAAAATATCTAAAATATATAAATAATTATTTAAAAAAATAAAAAGTAATAACCGAAAAAATATATAATTCAAAGTAAAAATAGGAAGAAAATTAAAACTACTTTTATAATATTGAATATAATAACTTAAATTATTAGTAATAGTAAATTAATAACTACTTATAATAAAAATTAATAAGTATAGATATTAACTTGTAAGAATAAGTATTAGAGCAAAAATAGTAAATAAAATTAATAATCATATTTCTTAATAATAATCTAAAATACGAAAAATTAAGTGAAAAAGGAGATATATATTACAACTAAAAACAAAAAAAAAGTAATAACACATTATATATACTATATAAAACGACTAATTTATACTAAATATTTAAAAAGTTGAATAACTTAAAAGAAAAACATAATAATAATTTAATGTTTATATTACTACAGTAGACGAAAATGTATTATTAATAAAAAATTTAATACTATTGTATGTTTTCATAGCAATTATTAGCACAAAATAAGAATACCAGCAATATTTATTAGCGTAAAAAACAAAATAAACAATTAATGATGATAATTATAGGTATGAAACGATAATTATTTACATGATAAACAAGATTAGCATAATAAATAATTATGATACATCAACAGTAACTTTAAACATAATAAAGAAAACAAGCATAGATAATAGTATATATTAATGGTAATTGTTCCCAAAATAATAAAAAGTGTAATGAAAATTAATAATAATAAATTATTATATATAATATCACTATAATTAGCATAAAACGAAATTTAATAATAAAATTATCATACGTAATGTTAATACTATATCAACAGTAATTATTAATATAATAAACGATATGAGCATAAGTAATAGTAATATACTAACAGTAATTGTTAACATAAGAAATAAAATAAGCAAAATTTAATAAAAATTCCTTTATTTGAATAATAAACAAAAATAAGTTTTATAATAATATAAAAAGTTTGCCTATCTCTCTGCGTGGCATTCAAATCAGTAACGCCGTGAAAAAAAACATAACGAGAAACGGGAATCAAATTTGCAATGTTATTCCAAATATCTTCACGATCATCAATAATAACAAGTTGCGATGTTTTATGGGGAAACAATGACTTTAGCGCGGGCGTCTTGAAATTCTAATAATAATGAATATATTTTAAACAATAAGGTTTAATTATAATTGCTCGTCAAAATATATTTAAAAAAAATTTATTTACAAAAATAAAAAACGCGTATTCTTTTTATATTTATTAGTAATATAATTTAAATATATGTTTGGTTGTATAAAAATGTATTGAATAAAAACGTTGCGAAAAAAAAGTATTATTAAAGCTAAAATAAATAGTTTTATTTCATACTTATTATTATAAGCAAAACTATAAAGGAATAGTAAAGAAATAACCTCTAGTTATATGAAAATTCCTAGATAGTAAATATAATAGAAAAAATAATAAAAATTTATAAATTATTGCAACTTTGTTAATTAAACAAATTTCGATTCGGCGATTTATAATATTTTGAAAAAAATTATATAATTTTTTCATAAAATTAATATTTTTTAAACTAGAAACTTATATTAATTATATTATAGTTTCCTTTGTAAATATATAAAAATTTTTATATAAACAATATTTTTAAAATCTTCAAAGTTTATTATTAATACTAACATTTAGTAAATGCTTTATAAAGTTAGCAGTGTAATAAAAAAAATTTATATTTTTTCAAACTTTAAAACGATATTAATAATAGTTTTATTTATGTTTCCTTATAGTTTTCTATATTTTATTAGTAATTTCTATTTTGTTACTTATTAGTTCTTTTTTATTTATTTTTTTACAAATTCTTAATATTATATTATGTTCAACCTTCTTAAGTATTATATTAATAATGATATTTATTAAAAACTTCTAATAAAAGTTTATAATGTTCTAATACTTAACAGTTTTATTAATAACATTTCTTTTTTAATTTTATTTTAATACAGTAATTTTTTTATATTAATAATTTTATTAGAGCTATAATACACAAATTTTATAAAGTTCTTTTATAACCATTTATATAAGAACCTTCAATAACATAAAAATCCTATGATACAGTTTCATTATTTTTTTAAATTACAATTTTTTATGTAAATAATACTTTTTTGACTTAATAATAAAAAAATTACTTTATATTAATAATATTTGTAAAAACCTAAAATTCCGTACAAATTTTATATAAACTTCTTTTTATAAAATTCAATACTTCATAAAATAATTCTACTTTCTTTCTTTAAGCAAATTCAATAAAAATATTTATTATTTTCTTAAGTGGAGCATAATTTTTTTAACTACATATTAGAGTTGCGACGTTATAACCTGATCAAAGCCGTCCTCGCGTGATAATATTCGGTTAGCAAAAAACTTTTTATCGGGATCAAGAAATTCAGTCTGTACCAAATAGTTACTATTAACTTTGCATATAAAAAAAAAAATATAACAAAAATAAATGCGATACTTTTCAATAGCTTTATCTTATAAATTTTTTATAAAGCGTTCATGTATATCGGATATAAAAAAAAGTTAAATAATAATTATTAACAAAAAACATTAACCAAAAAGTTATAAAAAATATTTAATAATAGAAAAGTATTATTTATAATAATTAATATAACAAACTATAAAGTCTCAAGCGATGTAAATTGTGCATAAGTTTATACTTAAAAAAAACATGAGTTTGTAACTATAATAAAAGTAAACAAAAAATTATTGATCCTTTTAAATTTATAAAACTTAACAAAAAGCTAGAGGTAGTAGTTAATATAGTAAAAATAAAAATATAAAATATGAAACATAAAATTCCCACAAAACACAAAAAAAAGTGGTTCGTAGGAAAATACCAAATATAGAAATAAATGTAGACATACTAAGCGGTACAATTAATTATTTTGGCATGAACTGTTTCTGCTTTACATATATGGTAAAATGTTATATGTTCAGTGTACAGTTAACCTTTTTTAAATATCCACATATTACGTTAAAATTAAATTTTTTTTCAACTTGCAAATCAACGAACTCTACTCACCGACGGAAAAAGAAAAGACCAGAAATAATTTAATTGCAAAAAGCATTTAAGAAATTTAAATAGAAATAAGGAAAAGAGAAAACTTCAACTGTTCTTATATATAAAATATCTTTAAAAAATGTGTTTCAAAAATTTAATTCTTTTTTTTGGTCAGTTGTAAAAATAACACAACAGAAACTCTTAAGCTCAAATTTTAGTTTCAAGACTTTCAGCGACGGCGATAAAAATCAGTATGGTCACTAAATAAAGTAAATAAACTGCTAAGTAAACTAAGATTTCAAGTAACAACTGAAAGGAAACTTTAAACCTGTAGTTATTACGTAATTAAAAACTAATGTTATATATATTTTTATTAGCACAAAAATAAGTTACAATTTTTTTGGCATAAGAACGAGATCCCATAGTATAGACTGTCATTTCATATTTGTCTTCAAGCTTTTGTAAAAGTTGAAAGCAGTGAGGTCGAAATTTCACATAATAAATTCGAGGTAAATTATCAAGAGTAAACTCCATAACCTCCTCCTTTATATAAAACATACTTGTTATTATTAAGTAAAAAATGGTAATGTAAAAATTTCCAAAAAAAATAAGTAATTAACAGAAACTACACAAAATTATTAGCTGAAAAAATACTGAAGTAAATAAAAAATTATTACAACAAATGAAAAAGTAAGAAATTAGTAAGTAAAGTTATACAGTAAATATAAAAAAGAAAAAGTTTAGAAAGTAATAAATGCTTTCTTTTAACGTAAAGTTTGGATCTCGCAGCCAATGACTAATATATGGCGCTTCTTCTACTGTAGTAGCATGAATTAGTGTTTGATCTAAATCAACTATCAAAGCTAATTTCCTTAAATTTTTTAATCTTTCCATTTCTAGCTTCCCTTTTTCTATGGCATCCTTATTATTTAAAATATTATTTTAGAAACATTAATTAAAAAAAATATTTACGGTGGCTGCTATGTGAAGCTCGGTCCCTGGTAACCTTATAAAATCTAATTTTTTGTCGGCAGCAGTTTTTAAAATCCTGGTAACTAAATTATTAGAAAATTGTGTTGCAGTTTATATATAGAACTATGTAATAATTCAAATAACAATCCTTATAGTTCATGAAAAAGAAGTTCCGTACCATGTCGATATATCAAGGCCACATTCGGCACACAAGCCTCCAAAAACTGTAGGATGGTGGCAATCCGGATCCATATTTAAACAAAATAACAACTTGATCTCCCCGCAAAGTTGAAAGTTATGAAAATAATTACTTAATAGAAAATTAGTAAATTTACATATGTAAAACTATATAACAAAGCGATAGAAGTTTATTTAAACTAAATTGAATTAGTAGTTATCAGTGCAATCTAAGTTTAGTTCTTTAACTTAAATAGCATTTGAGTTTACTTTAAAAGCTAAACAGCATTTCCGCATACCATTTTCCTTATTACACATTGTGTGGAACCCAAAGGGCACAGCGCTCCTTAGTGAGCTTTCGCTCTGAGATGGGCATTATTAGTTGAGAGAATGCTGCGCTTTTCAACGGGTTTTAGTTGTTTAATAAATTATTCAGTGCTTATAATATTATTGAGAATGTTATAATTTTAAAGATTGTAAGCCTTATAATTAGCAGAAAGGAAAAATTATTATGCCATTTTCTTTATACATAACTTTAAGGATCGGCTTTTAAATTTAAATATTCCAAGATTTTTTGCTTTTTCCTTATGCATCTATTATGCACCTTCTTTCCAGTGCAATTGCTTTTTTGCTACCACTCAATTATTTTAATAAAATATTAACTTTCTTAATGAAATGTATAAAGCAAAGTTTACTTAAACTGCCAAATTAATTCTGTATTTCTAATTCGAACCAGTCGCGCTATTTTAAGGCCTGAAAATATTTTTTATATTACTCTTTAGTAATAATTTTTTTTAAAATTGGAAAATGCACTGACACTAGGCGATAAATTAGTTCAAAACGCTAACGGCTAATCACATTTTATGTTTTTTTATATTTTTTTATATTTTATTACATAATAATTATTAATGCCTGTATAACATTAAAAAATAAAAAACCAAAAAAAAACCAAAAAAAAATAATTTTTAAATTGCTAATCTTAAACTTCTTTTTCTTAGCTACTACTATAAAAAAATAACAATTTTTCTCTTATTAATAATTTTGTGGACCGCTTGGCCTTGATTTGGGCCCAAGTAGGTGTCGTACATCATTTCTAAGATATCAAAACATTTCGTTTCAGATAGGACGAGTTGAAGTGCTTTTTGCCAATAAATAGATACTGGAAACGTTGGGCGATAAAATAAGATATTTTTTCTGTTAAAGATATACAGTATTTTTACAGATCATATTGCAAGATTTGGTCCTTATCAGCTTAGAATTTTTTTCTAATGAATTAATTAAATATATATATTATAAATCAAGCGATTTTAGTCTATCAACATTTTAAATCAGGTCTAATTGCATTTAAGCTTTAAGCAGTTCTTAGTCAATAATAAATAAATTCTTAAGGTTTAATTGTGAAAACACAATTAGTTGTGTTTTTTCTTATGCTTTGTTATTCGAAAGCGAAAAAGGTTGCTAAAATATAGGCTTCAAAGATTTATATAAAACGATAAGATCAAAAAAGAGTAATAAGCAAGGTAAAGTTATATAAGCTATAAAATGTACTGAGACCCCATATTGTAACTAAAAAGATATCACAGTCCTTTCTTAAAGCAGTTCTACTTTCTGTTATTAAGTGTTTACTGAAACCCTACTTTAAAGAAAACGTATTTACTGGACGCTGGTTAACCATTTATGTCCTTTCTGTCACCATTAATGTTCTCTCCTGTTTAGTGGTTAGTTAAAACACTTCTAAAATTATGAGTCAAGTGGCCAATCAAGGGGTCTATTTAAGCTTATAAGTACTCAATAATATTATCTATATATTGCAAGACACCGTTTTTAGTTAGTTTATATATTTGTAAATAACTCCACTCTTTCTAAACTGTTCTCGGGTGAGGTGTAAAGAAATTCAATAAACCAGTTTTTCTCTCTCTTATATAACGCCCTAGTTATAAGCGCTACAGTTTAGCTTTAAGACTACGCGAGCGGAGGTAACTAGAATTAACATAAGAATATATATATAAATCTTTAAAAACAACAATAAAGCTTTTTGTTTCTCCTATGTTTTTTAAGGTTGTTTCATTAACACTTATTCTATATTAAATAAAAACATTTTTTTCTTTTAAACTTTAATATTACTAAAACAAGTATAACAAAAGTTCGTTTATATTTTAAATTTTTAATAGCTATTGGCTAATAATTATTTTTTTTTATAATTAAAACAACGGTGTTATTAACGTGCTCTTTATTTGAGAACTCACGATTTGATGGAGTATATTACTGAAAGACACCGACGGATGGGGACCATAAATATTTTACTTATTTACGTATTATTACACCTCTACTTTTTACTACGAATTTGCTTTAAATACTAAAATTAGACCAACAGAATAACATCTCTATAACAGTCTTAATTAAAACATACTTAAACAAGGATAAAAACTTCCAAGTTTACTGAAAACTAATTGCCTACGTCGTGGAACCAAAAGCACAACTTCAAAATTCACAAATAAAACTAGATTAAGTTTATCAGAAGATAGACTCCTATGAAAAACTTTTAGCTATTGATGATACTTTTAGGTTAAAAGAAACTATTAAATCTCCATTACCTATATTGCGTTATTTACTGTTCACGAAAAAGCTTTATAAAATACTTCAAGACGGCGTAAATATCGGCTACATTCCTATCGGTAACGACATGAATGATAACGGTGTCATAGTAACTAAAATATAGCACTAATGATAAGAGAAATACAAGCGTTGACCACAGTTTGGTAACTATAATAACAATAATAATATTATCAATACGAGTGTCTAAATAAAGCTTCCTTAATCCGTTTAAAATATTTAGTAAAACTAGTTAACTGAGTCTTTACTTAGTTGTCCTCTAGACTAACTAAGCTATTTATTAACTTCAACTAAAACTCCTTTTAGACGTTTAGTCTTTGTTCTCGCTCGCTAGACTAAATTTATTACCTTTATAATGTCACTGGTCCTCTAGACCAACGTTAAACTGAAGACGCGGTAAAAACCGAAAAAAGAACAGAAAGAAAAAAAATGGTAGGCCACGGCCACCTTTTTTTTTTAAGCACTGGCCATACTACCGGTCAGCCTACTTAAGACCTTAAGCCGCTTAAATTAAATTACCTTCTTCTGAAGAGGTTGGTACAGGGGTACCCACCAGTGTACGCTATTTATAAAGCTATAATGACTATCTCGAAGGATGGGAAAAGCAGGAGATATAAGGCGGGGCTCCCTCCACTTGCTTTCTTGTTGAATATCGCTAAAAACCACCACCGGGAGAGGTCGCCTGGGGACACCGGCCAGCGCCACCGCTAGTCAAACCTCCCCGATTATGAACTTACGCAGGCGGAAGAAAAAACCTCCTATCTGTTATATTTATATATATACTATACATACTGAAGAAATTGATTTAAGAGGTACCTTACAAACAATAAATGGTTACCCTTTATAATTCAAATAATTAATTTGTTCTGTAAGGAGATTAAATTCTAAACCCCGAGACTAACGACGCTAACAATAGTAAAAATAATACGAACAATTCAGTGCTATCTGTGTTAAAAATTAATATAATTTTAACAACAAAAATGATTGCAATAATAAAAAGAAACTAATCTTTTTATCACAGTTTAAATTCTGAAGATGTTAGATATGGCATACGTATACAATTCTCATCTTTAAATGACTTTCGCGGGTTCATTGCTGTTTTGGATCGAGACGGATTTGAATACTACACTTATCAACTCTTTGAGGAAAAGAAACTTAAAGGTGTGTTCCGGGGTGTTTTTACTGAAATGAGCAGAGATTTTGCATGCAAATTTACCAAAATAAAAATTCTTATCTTTAGTTCCCATAAGATTGCCTAAAACAGAGACTAATATCCATAACCTGAAAAACAGAATACATTTCAGTTTCAGTAGAACCCTTAGAAAATATGTGGTTGAATGGGCCCCTGTTTTCCGCTGCCAAATATATGAGCAAAGGCCCCAGTATTTCACATTAAATTTTTTTTTTAATGTGTATAATGATATGATAATTACGACTCTAAACTTTGCGGAAAAGGCAGATCTGTTAAACTACGCTGCCCAAATTGCTAAGGGGGGCACACAGTCAACTACAAAGGGACGCCTATTCTACCCTAATAATGCGCCGCTTCATAAAGAAGCAAAAAAAAGGGACGAAGACAAAGTCCAACCAAATATTTAATATCACAAAGTCGGCAGTTCTAGTTACATACAGGAGGACCGGGCCTTATGGCAAATATAAAAGTCTTCAACCCAGTCAGTGATATGATGAGTAACTCTGTGTTCTCATTACCAACAGGATTAGTGCTCAGCGCAAAATCCATTGATAAACTATGAAAAAATTCGAACTATACTTTATGAATTTACCTAGGGGTACACAAAAGAGTCTTAGACTGAAATGCCAGCAGTCTTCGCACTGGGGTGCGCCAACTCCAAGAACTGACTGTGAGGTCAGATATTGGCATAATTTTAAAGTCACGGAAATGCAGTTTAAGCGGGTGACACATATGTATAGAAAAAGAAAGACAGTACTGGACATAGCCGAGTGGCTTTATTTATAAAAAAACACATCCTGCACTTTCATCGTAAATAACAAAAACTTTACGATTTTGAGGCTGTAGGTGTTAAATTGAAAAGTTATTAAATTGGTATGGATGAAAATTTTCTCAGCGTCTAAACGTTTCGAATAAAGATTAGAAGGGAGAGATATCGATACAATATTCTCTGGCTCGAACTCAGCATTTGCTGGCGGAGAACTTCAACTGCAAACATCCACTTTACAATAGCACTTGCACAAACTCGAACGGGGTCGTTCTATAAAAACTTGCAGAAGAAAAAGAAATTCTTGGGGTCGACCCAGTGACCCGAGTCATTATGCCGCAAGTAATACAACCGTTGTGCTCGATACTGCCCTGCTAAAGAACATTCAATTCATCCTTCAACTTCTGCGACAACGTTGTTGGAAATCTCTGCTGATTAAAACACTATTCTACACTCTCAAACATATGCTTTTTGATAATAAGCAATTTTACGTAGACCCTGGAAAGCTGGTTCACATCTATAATCTTAAACTTAATCTAACAAAATGCAAGGCCTTACCGATCTCACGTAGAAGGAAACACCTTGTCCGGTGAGCAACTTACTACTATTTGGCGATGGTCTCCTCTGACGCTCGCAGTTCAAGTATCTTTTATTAGTACTTTGTTTATAGGAGAATTGTACACGTAGCCAACAAACCAGAAAAATGCGAGTTGGCACCGAAGAGAATCGAACCCGTTACCTTGAGTCGCTGCGACAATACTCTAAACCA